TATTAGGACCAAAACGATGGCTTCCCGATGTGGTTTGATTAACCGGAATCGACTGTACTTATTTTCTTCTTGTAATTATTAAATTGTTTTTCATTTTCATAAAAATGGCATATTTTCCCCCTTTATAGCTTTTTATTATAATTTTAATTAACAATTTTTCTGTGCTTCATAAGCTATAATCTTCAACTGTTGCAAATAAGATCACATCTACTGCATTTCAAGAAATATTATACACTGTCTGTCTGAAAAGTTCCGAGACAAACTTTCTTTCAAGCATATAATCATAACTGGGATAAACATGACAATGCAATTCCCAGGTGTCACTGATTAATTGTACCGGAGGATGCGTCCAGAACGATGGAAGGAGAGGAATTTCTTTTTGTGCATCATAATGCACCAGTTCACACAGTTGGAGCTGTGGTGCAGTTTCTAGCAAAAAAACACATGCCAATTCTTAACCACCTTCCATATTCACCGGCACTAAATGACCTTTTTTTAAATTCTCAAAAATCAAACTTTACATGAAGGTTCAACACTATCACAACATAAACAACATTCAAACCACAGTCACACGCATGTTGAATAACATCCAAAGATTTCTGATAGTTTCACGTAGTTGTATGAATATTCTGTGTACACTCAAGTGGAGAGAAACTATGTAGAACATAAGCATCTTCGCCTTAAGTTTTCTTTAATTTTCATTAATCCAGTTTTTTTTTTAATATACAACAGTCAAATATTTAAAATACTGGAAAAAACCTTTTATGCTAACAGTTTATTTTTCAATAAAAGAGTTCATTCAAACAACTGAAATTAATCTTCACATCTGCTTTTGCAGTTCGATTGGGTTTTTCTGGGAGTCGGGTTTCTGTATTGGAAAATCATACACCAAAGATAGGAGGAAGAACAAGAAAAATTATAACCAGTTATTTTATAAGCCAAAATTGATAACAGCTGAAATTTTTCAGAAGAAAAAGTTTTGAATTTATATATTCTAATTTTTTTTTACATTTATTTAATATGGATACTTCTTGCATTTAAATGCATTATTCCTAACTGCAATATATTCTAAAGTATAGTGCATAGAACTGCTTTTTTGAAATTTACTGCTTCAAAAATTAAGCCTAGGGGTTCTCAATCGGGGGGGGGGGATTTCATAGCTTCAGGGGAGAAAGTGGTCAGCCTTTATTTACCTGTTAAGGATTTAGTTTTATGCACATAAAAGGCTACTTTTATACAAGTTTTGGTATTTATCAACATTTTCTATATTTTTCTTGGTCAATTTATAAAACACTTTAGAAAGTAAGCTAAATTTAAATAAATGTGTATGCATTTTTCAAATTTTGGAAAGGGGGTAATGATGATCTTGCAGTGGTGAAAGGGGTGCATGGGGCAAAAAAAAGGCTGAGAATCCCAAATTCAGACCAAGATAAATTTTGCAAACCCCATTTCCACATTATACATCATCAGTATTCTACGTATTTCTATAACTCTAAATTAACTTTTCAGTTGGTGCAGTTATTATTTTCCTCCACTGAACTTAAAACATATTATATCTCATAGACTAACCATACAAAATAAAGCACATGACATTTTGCTGTTCTCTAAAAGTATCAATAATATACAAAATATACATACATGCTAGTCATATAATGAATACAATTTTATCTCTGATTAAACAACATGAATAGGACAAATATATCAACTCATTTCTATTATTGTCTTATAAAATAAATTATTATAATTCTAGTTCATCTTATTGTTCATGAGTTATTCAAAAAATTATTTGATTTTTTTAAAATGAGAAATAATAGATGCTATGCAAATCCTCAGTCAACTTTATTATCATGTTATTAAGTTTTGACTTAATTGAAAAATTATTTCTGTACCTAATGCCATGTCCAGTATGCATCAAATTTATAAATAAGTTATAAAATTGATTTGCATACACCATGTCTACCAAAAAGTCCTTAACTAATCTTTATTTTCACAACCATTGCTTGTAGATGTATTCTTAAAAAAGTTAGAAAATATTTTAAATGATGCAAATATTCATCTATTAGCACTTTTAAATTTAAAAATAAAAAATAATAAAAATTGCAAAATCTAACTTTTTATATCCTTTCACAATCTCTTTATGTATATTTAAGAAAATGCTATACTTGGTGATAAAAAAAAGTGTGACACATGTACAGAGTGAGAGATATTTGAATTTAAAGTTTCAAATAACTTTTCTTGAAAACTCAAGAGGTTGTATATAATTGCAGACAGCAATATTTAAATTTGTTGTAATTAAGATTATAAGTTTAGGAAAAAGTCTACAAGCCTTGGTATAAAGACTGTGATAAAAAGTTTTGATTAATACAAGATTTTTTAACAGATCTTAACTTTTAGCAAAGACTGCAAATAGCAAAAGTTCACCACAAAACATTTCACTAAATTGAAAGAATTAGTTTATATTTTCTTTTAAATAAGAAGGAAAATGAAAAATTAAATGATACTTCTTTAATAATAAAAACATTGTACTCAGATGTTTGATGGCGGGGGGAACCCTCTAAGATCAGCCATTAAAAAAATTGCCTCTCTTGCCCCTCCCCCAAAATGAATTTACAATACTATAAATTTGGTAGCACACTATTTAATAATAATAATAATAATAATATATAATAATAATGATAATAATATAAATAAATAAATAAAATTACAAAAATAAATAATTTATGAAATTGAATAACATAGTTTATGCAAATATTACGACAGATATTCATATAATTCAAAAGAAAATCATAAAATGAGAAATTCTAAGGCAAAGCAATAGTTTGAACGGTTTTCATGTGAAGTGGCTGCCTTCAGCTTCGGGGGGGGATCTAATGGCTCTATATCAGAGGACCATTCTATTTCTGCTGGACCCCCATTTCCAGTAGTTCCAAAATTACTGAAAAATGTGTGTGGTCTGCAGATTTATGTGCTGGAGTACCATTATGCTGAAAGTGCACAGCTGGCAAATCTTTCAGTGAGACAATAATTAGTCAAACAATAGTTCATTTAATATTTTAAATTTAATTTTTCTGTACATTACCCGATTTAAAGTAACATAAAATATAAATGGCCCAATATACATTTCATTCCATACCTACACCAAATACTTCTACAAATTACAAATTAAAAGAATATCATTTAATAACTTTCAATGGAAATAAAAACAACCTTAATTAATTCTTATTTATCTTTTAACTAACTCCTCAAAGACGATAATAAATTAGAATTTTCTATTGCTGCAGAATCCTTAAAAATTGCAGGCTTTAAAATACATTATCTTGCTCAATTTATGTCATATCGAAATCAAACTTTTTATATTTTATGTTTCATGATGAGTATAACATTTTTCTAAGTAAATAAATAAATAAATAAATGGAAAAAAAAATTTGTAATTTTTTATAAAACTGATGTTTTTAAGTTTTAAAATACCAAGGCAGGAATATTTGCACCCTTTAAAACATTTTAACTAGAAATGCATGTCTACAACCAACAGTTTCAAAAATAAAAGGTCAGGTAAGGATCTTTTGTGGACAAGGTGTATACTGAAATTTTTAATTGATTTCTGAATCAATGATGAATCGTCTGCAACAGCTGTCATTCCCATGGTTATTAGACAAACTGGACAACAGAAAATAACCTTGAAGTTTCTATTTTAAAGCAACAGGCTGCAGTAACAGAAAAGTCAAATTAAGCCCACTGATTCATAAAAGCAGAGTTCCCTATGGTCTTTTAAAAGTTCTTAGTTTTAATTATCTGATATTTTTGTCTTATTCTTACAATTGTCATTATGAATGAGAGTTAAAAATTTTTTGGTGATTCATTGACATATATGTATCTGATGGGTTATCTTCTGGATTTGTTCCTATTTCTAACATGTTGGTGAACTTGAATTTCTGGGTCCAAGGCCATACCCATTGAAATATTAACTTTTTTTTTTTTTTTTTTTTTTTTTTTTTTTTTTTTTTTGTGAATGAATTCAGAAGCTTTTAGTGACAAAAAACAACTTTTTCTTTTTGATGAAATAAATACATTGTTATGTGGCAGTAAATTTGGTGATTTTAAGATCAATCTGAATGCAAAATTTTTATTTGCAGATATGCAAATATTTTGAAAATTTTGTTTTACGAACATAACATTAATGTATTAAAATAATGATATATCAAAATTATATTTAAGAAATAATATTAAAAAAAAACATTTTAATTTCCCTCTCATATTTGAAAGTGACCTGGTGACTTAGGAATATTTTACTTCTGAAACATAAGCAAGATAATAAATGCTCAAAAGCACACCTTCCAAAACACATGTAATTAACACTTGTAACAAAAAGCTAATGTAATTATTTTTAAATTAATTCATCGACTTTCATATTTTTTCATGAGTTTTTCCCTCACATAATTGTTTCAGAATATTCAAAATTTTTTCCCCTGAATTTTATTTTCAAAAGTCTTCTAAGCATTTTGCTCTTACAGAGTTGGCAGAGATGATTTTCCATTAGATCTTACACTTCAGGTTTAGATGGATTTATTTGAATTATATATTTAATTTAATATATTAATATATTTAATTTAAAGATATATAGATATATGATTCCATAAAAATATGACAAAATGAAACTGAGTGTAATGTTCTATAAAGATCTTTAAAACTAATCTACAGAATAAGACTGAATTAGACTTTAGACAAGTTTTCACATGTAAGAAACCTGAATTTCATATTTAAGAGGATCCGGGAATTCAGCATATTTTTTAAACTTTCCTGTCTATTTGAAAAAATTTAACTCCATGAAATATACAGTCTTTTTTTAGTTTATGGCAATTTTATGAATTAATGTTACAAAATATATATTTGAATTTTGTTAATTGCAATTTTGAATTTAATTTTTTGCTAATAATTATATCATTGAACATTTTATATCAATAGTAAAGAAAAAAAAAAAGCTTATATATTTTCTTTTACAGATTCTGTTCACCTTTTAAACTTTAAAAAAGTCACGTCGAGACTACCATTCCATTAAGAAGGGCAAAAGAAATCACATGGCAGATGTGTATTTTCTGTACCATTTTTTGGCACAGTTAAATAGTTTAAAAAATTCATGTCTGCTGCTTGTGATATTTCTAGCAGTCTAGATTTTACACAGTAAATTTAACAGAACCAGTCAAGAGGCATGCTGTTGTAAAAAAATATACAATTTATTTAGTGAAGAGCTATCAAATTGCTAATGCAGCTATGTTTGTAAAATATATTTGTATATAACTGTATTTGAATGCTTACTTTTTTTAACATTTGAGGAGAAAAAAATTACATACCCTCCATATAACAATCTAAAAATTTATTACATTTAACACAGAAGTTGCCTGAGAAATTCCCAGTTCATGTAACATGCTTATATTTTATTAGCTTAATTATTTTCTTTATAGTTTAGACATTCAATAAACTTCAATTATAGGTATCATATTTTTAATTTAAAAAATCTGATAAAAATAGCTTATTTATCCTAAATTGGCAGAGGACTTATTACAAAAGTTTATTCACCTATCCATAAAAATTTTTAAAATAGTATTTTAATCTCAGAACTTGCTGCAGAAAGTTATTAACAACTGCCTTATTTTTCTAAGGCTTTCAATATTTAATAATTAAAGTTGTGAATATCATGCAAGAGCTTTTTAAAAAAATCCAGAAAACTTTTATTGATAAAGAAGCATGTCTAAAAAATGTTGTATAAGCTTCAAAATTTGTAATGTATTTTGTTATTAAAAGAAATTGTATTTACTACTACTACAATCTAAAAACCAAAGAAATCTTTATCATAATACGATGTAAAGATTAAATGTGGATTCACTAAAAAGGCCCTATTTTTTACCATATTATTCCTCCTGTAATTATGCACCTATTTGATTTACTCTCTGAAAGTATATAATTTTAAAAGGAACTGAAATACAGCAGATTATTTATTATTAATTTTCAAAGAGAATTTCTTTATAGATTTACATTTATTCAGTATTACAAGCAGATATACATTATTTGCTGTTCTTTTATTAAGCAAGTTATATAATTATCTTGTAAAAGTATTAATTTACAAACTATATTTTTGTGATATTTTTTACATGTATTTCACTTTCTGAAATGTATTTTGAAACTTTATTTTTACATACAGTATTATAAAACAGATTGCATTTAATATTATTTTTATGTATTTGGGAGTTGTGCTTTTTTGTATTTTTCTCTTATTTGTGTTAAACTATGTATTTCAACTGAATAGCAAATATAAATATGAAAGTACTGGATAGCATTTGTTCCTATGATCTGTTTATTCTGTACATAATTCATGTAATATGTACATTCATTAAATATAATAGAAATACAGACTGTGCTATAAGTATATGTCTGATACATTGAATACACAAGGCAAACTAGTAAAATGATATGCATGTAAAACCTGATCTTCTTGATTGTAAAATCTGAAGTTATTTGTTGTTATTAAAGAATTGAGCAAAAGTTATAGTGTCTTTAATATGTGATAAGCATTAAATAAACACACACATCTAGTTTATTATATTTAAAATAGTTTAATCTTTAAAAGTGTTTCATATACTTATCAAAATTTTCTGAAGACACAAAAAACTGGAATACTTAAATTTTAATTAATAGAGTCAAAAAGCTATTTGTTTGATGTAATTTGAAAATTTCCATAAGAATTAATACTTTAATATCATTCTAATGAGATATTAGCCAAGTGATAAAAACACTATTTTAATACTAAAAAATACATTAATACTGAAAATAAAGGGATTAAAAACTTAAATTAATTAAACTTCAACTACAGATGTGCATAGTAAAAAAATGTAAAATTTTAAAAAGGATGTAAAATCTAAAAATGCTAAAACGTTAACATTTTAAATGCACAATATCTTTCATAGCATATATATTCATGGCATATTATTCTAATGAGTATTAGCCAAGTGATAAAACATTATTTTACTATTAAAAAAACATTAATACTGAAAATAAAGAGATTAAAAACTTAAATTAATTAAACTTCAACTAGAGACATGCATATTTAAAAATGCAAAATTTTGAAAAGGAAGTAAAATCTAAAGATGCTAGAAAGTTAATATTTTAAGTGTTAACTTTGAACATCTCCAAAAGAAAAAATTATCATGGCATATATAAAGATATGAATTAACTTGAAAAATTCAAATGATTATGCTATAATTAATTTATATTATTCAAGTAATTCTTATAGAAAGGAAATGAATTTTCAGAATGGTTTTAAATCATGCTTATTTAATAAATTTTTTGGGGAAGGGGTTATGGTTTAAGATGATTCATATATTCTGTGATAAATGTTTTTGCAGATTTATAATTTATAATTACATGGTTACATAATTAATTTCATCTAAAATAGATAACATTTTTATACTAAAACATTTTTAAAAATCTGGAATACAATATTCATAAACTTCATAAAATAAATTTCTCTATAAACATGAAATTTGATAGATAATTTTCTGATCTTCATTTGATGTACCGCATCATAATTTCTTTTTATTATTAAGTGGTGTTTTCTGTAATATAGGGAAATTGGGCCAAATTATCACTGGCTGACACTAATATTATAAAAGTGGAAAGTTTGCAGATATTGGATATGGAAACAAATTATAATACAGACTGCTATAAAATAATCTCTAGACTAATAATATAAATAGCATAATAGTCAACTATATATTGCTTTTTTATGCTTCTGTTCTGATGAAGCTAAAATTCCTTAAACATACAATGCAGGCATCATGGCAAAGTTAAATAAATATAAAATGATGTTTATTATGGAATGTTGTATCAAAATAAATAAGATTCGAAATATTAGGGCAATCTACTTTGCTTTAAGTACCTTTCTCAAAAATCACAGAAAATGTTAAAAAAATTAGTTACTTTAAGGTTACGGTATATTCGAAAAGAATAATTCCTGTTTAAAAATTCATGAAAAGAATTCGGTATTTTCTAAATATCTCCACCTCCAGTTTCAACAATTGCAAAAGTGGCATGTTTGTTACATATTTTCGAATAAACATGCAACAAAAGCCAGCTCACATATGTGTTCGAGTGCACATGGATTTTTATACTTTATTTAAGCATTATTTTGATGCACAGCATTCACTAATTATAAAAATGTAAATACTGGCCACATCAAATTTGTTTTTTCTTAAAAATGCTTTTTATTTAATGTTTATAATAAAGATGTAAAGATAGCCACACAAACTTTTTTTTTTTTATTAATTCACAAAGTCACCAGTGAATTGGTGACATTTTATGGGAGTGCAGATAATCAGAGTATTTTTAGACTTTTGTTTGAGAAAGATAGTACATATCTATGAGGTATTCTAGCAATTTAATAATAGCGATAAATTTACAGTCAAATAAATGAATTTTGGAATCAAGATACATGCTGTATTGAATGGATTATATTTTCAACTAAGAGCCAATAACTGACTTTATTGCAGTGAAAAGAATTACTTTACCAATGATAACTGTTTCTGTCACATCATAAAAATAAAATTTACCTAAATATCACTTTTCCCTTTAGATTATATTTGTGTATGGAGGAAAAGACATATGAAAATTTCTGCATTTCATTGCTTGGCTGATTTAAAGACAATTGATTTATTAACTATATAAAGTCATTAAATTTTAAAAGTTTTACAGTTTATTCAATTATAAATATGATGTTAAAATATTATAAAAATGTAAGCCAATCTATATTTTAACAGGTATTTATTTTAAAGTAATTTTTTATATTTTAAGTTCTAAATAATTATAGGTAAGAAAACTACCATAGTTTTGCTAACTCATACAGACAGGTTCAGTTTGATTTGCCAGTAAATGCTTTTTACATGTTTTATTATATACAGAAATTTTAAATGATAATTGATAAATATGAATTGTTGCTATTTATTTTCGTTATCTTGTGTTATGGCATCACATTAATTTGATACTAAAGAGACTTAAAATTAATAATATTTTACTTTCATTATAAGATAAAATTTATATATTTCATGGAATTCAGTTTTAAAGGAATTGATTAAAAATATGATGTCATATATTGTGTAATATTAGTTTATTACAATGTGTATTATCTAAAGTGTAATAGGCATTAACCAAGTATTTTAATTATCCTTATACAATTAAATTTTATGTAGAATTCATTTCTAAAAGAATGCTATAATAACAAATGATTTGTATATTTTCCACTAAAGAAGGAACTAAGCAAATTTGTTTATTTAAAAAAGTGGAATGTTGTCAGTTTCCTTAAGAGACTGAAAGAACAAGTTCAGATGAACATGAATTTTAATAAGAAATTAAACACTTTAAATTTTGTAGGAAGATATTTAATAAAAGCTGAAAACCTATGAAATATTAAAGTTCTTGGAGTCTTAGGTTTCGCAAGACAGCACTTAAGTTTGCAGTGACTTTGACACCTGTTTAAACTTCTTTTAAAGATAATGAATGATTACAAATTATATGATCAATTCTGAATTTAAATATAACATTTAACATAAATACAAATACAAAAGTCACAATTTCTTTATCATACATATAAGTTTAAAAAGTCACTGTTTCTTTATCATATATAAAAATTATTATATTCAAAGGGACTTTTATTAAATTAAATTAATTTATTAAATTATTAAATTAAGTAATCAGTCAGTTGCTTCAGCTATCATTACGACAACAGTACAAAATTTACATCAATTTCAGTACAGTATCTCAGAATTACATGTGGATCATTATTTTTCATTTTAATATTTCTTTGAAAATGAAAATTTACATATTTACATACTTTTGATACTTAACAATACTTGATATAAAAATCTCTCAAATATAGTTTTCAGCAGCTATCAGCATGGAAGTTCATAAAAATTGCACTTGGTATTTTACAGTACCTTTCCATCATATATTCATTCAAATACCATTTAAAAGTAAGAGAAAATACTTTTCCTGAGACATATATTTTACTTAAAGTTCGTCATGCAGTAAATAATCCAGTATAAAGCTGTGCAATTGTTCCAGTTTTCTAGGGCCATTATATTCAGTAATTCGCTGTCCATTATGAAAAAGTAAGAGGGATGGATAGCCAACAATCTGTAATTAGAAATGATGTAATTAACACCTTATGGTGGGAAAAAATAAAAATCTAATATTTTAAAAAATTAAAAAATGACTTGCAAGTCTATCTGATTACTTTATTGCTCCTGTAAAGAAAGTTTTAATTGCAAAAATAAATTTAAAGCTGGAGAAGCCAAATGGAAAGATTAACACGAAATACTATTTACAGCTTTGAAGAAAAGAAATCCATAATCAATTTTAGCATGAAAAATAATGTGGAGGGGGAGACTCACCTTATCATTTTGATGCAAACAAATTTCCAATTACATGTTTTAAGAAGTAATTTTTAAAAGTGCCTTTTCTCTTCCAATATCACCAAATACTTTTTTAATACTAATAAATAAACATTTTCGTTGTTGTTTAGAATTTGTGTAAGTATAATCATGAACACTAATACCTTCATTTAGATTTGATTTCCATCAAATAAACTGGTCATACAAAATTATTTATTTTTTTTGTGTGTATGACAAATTTTAGGCAAATAAACTTTTAAAAAAAATCATAAAAAGGACATTTAGGTCATAAAAATGACATCAGATAACTCTTATAATTACTTAATAGTAAAAAATAAGCTAGCTAAGATTTTTGTTAAGCTTCATGTTCTGTGTTATGAAACTTTTAGCACACTAACTAAACCGCAGTTAGATTCAGTAAAAAGATAAAGCTTTATGAGTTTGTGAACTTTTGATAATTAAAAAAGTCATAGCCAAAGAAAAGCTTTATAATATAATAAGAAAGGAAAAAACGGGAACTTGCCTTGTATTCATTGCATAGTATTTCGTCTTTACTACAATCAACTTCAGCTATTTTTGCTTTTGGATGAGCTGCAAATTTTATAGCTAATTCATTCCAAATAGGAGCTAATCTCTGTGAATGCCCACACCTGTAATATATGCATGCATTACAACCTAAGAATTACATAAATAATTTCACCAAATACTTTTTAAATGTGTATTTATCTCTCACGAAAATCCAAATTTTAGCTGGAAAATGTGCTTTCACCTTAAAATCACACTTGAAGCAAAAAAAAAAAAAAAAAAAAAAAAATAAGTATTTATTTAAACATATTTTTAAAATTTGTCAAAATGTATTTTAAGGGAAAATATGTATTTTTACAGTTACAGTAAAAAATACAATATTTATCATACAGTATGAAATTTCAGTATAAAGATTTCATTAAATAAAAGCTAATTTATGTGAATAGAATGCATCAAATTTGCTTCCTCACTTTGCATTCTTTTTTCGTATTCTAAAAATCCCACACTTAGATGCTCTGAAGTAAGAATTTTCCCAACATTCACCGTGGTTGTCATCTCAAGAGCTATACAGTATAAAGTCTGTAATCCGGACCTCAAAGCTACAAACTTTATGCGCGGACAGTATAAAGCTAGGCTAAAATTATATAAGGCATTTCAGATAATGTTGCAGATTGCGCTGTTCCTTAATCTTCTAATTGGATTCGGCTTATTATTTTTTGCTGACTGTTAGAACAATTTTATAAAAATTAAGCTTGAACTTTCGATTATGTCAAAAAGAGTTTCCAATTCTGGAGCTGCCAAAGGATCTACAAAGCGAAAGCATGTTTCTAAGCCCATTAAACAAAAAGTGGAATTGCTGCAAAAAACGGATAAAGTCCTATTTGTCTCAAAATTATGCGAGAAGTATGGCATTGGAAAGTCCACTATATATGACACAAAGGAACTTTTCGAATTTTTTGTGGAAGCATCTTGAACAACTTACATTGAAAGAAATGTTTAATAAATATTAAGCTTGTTTTTTGTAAATTTTGATACCCTTTAGATCATAATTGTTTTTTATTTCATAAATTATGATTTCATATTTTTAATTATATAATCTCTGCATGCCATCTTACCAGATTTAAATTGATGATTTATAAGCCGAAAAACCCCTAATCCGGAATCGCCGAAGTTCCGACGAGTCTGGATTACGGACTTTGTACTGTATAAAAATGCAAAAGAGTAAGGCATGAATGATTTGTCAAGATCTGAATTCTAATCATTAATAATATAATATATGATGATTATTGTTTATATTTATTTTCCCATTATTATTATTTGTGTTACATTTTCTGACATATTAGAATTTTGTTCAGATTTATACAGTCAAAAGTCGTTAATTCGGACACCCATAATCCAGAATGATCTATAATCCGGACCTCAAAGCTTCAAACTTTCTGCGCATGCGTTGTGTTGACGCCTTTACCGCTGAGAATATGCTTGTGCGCGTGCGCAAAATACGTTTACGAGTGCGCGTTTAATATAACGGACAGTATAAGCTAGGCTAAAATTATTTAATTATTTATTTCAGTTAATGTTGCAGATTGCATTGTTCCTTAATCTTCGAATTGGATACGGCTTATTATTTTTTGCAGACTGTTAGAGCAATATTATAAAAGTAAGCTTGAACTTTCAATTATGTCAAATAGAATTTCTGATATATATTTATTAATATGTAAATGATCTACAAAGCGAAAGTATGTTTCGAAGTTCATTAAACAAAAAGTGGAATTGCTACAAAAAATGGATAAAGGCATATCCTTTGTTTATCTAAACTTTAACGTTTGTTTATATAAACTTTGTTTATCTTTAACGCAGCTGCTGCGCAATGAATTGGAAGTTGATCTGTCAGCACTATCCTTATCTTCGGGGCAGATGTTTTTATTTTATTTGGCTTATAACTCCTTATTAAATGTAGTATTTTATCTCGATGTACTCCATCTTTGATATGATTTAAATCAAATTCCTTGTCATTATAATTCGCTTCCGATAGCAGAGAAAGTAAGAGAGGTTATTGAAAACGAAAAAATTTCAATTGACAAATTAGTCGGTATTCTCGACACAGCAATTATAGGACTTGAACAGCGGAACTTTGTAACTGAACAAGAAATTATGTCTGTTTAAAGAATTAAAGAGAATGTATTATCACATAAAAAATGAAGCAACTTAAACAACTTACATTGAAAGAAATACTAATTCAGAAGTCAAACAACAAAAATCAGCGTTAATTTACAAAATTTTCACAGGACTAGTTTCGATGGTTTTACCGAACCATCATCTTCAGCTGCAAAACCGCAAATGAACAAGATAGGAAATAATGTTTAGATAAGATAAGAAAGCCTGGACAAGAATAAGCAAGTGGCGCCATCTGTTGGCGAAACCAGAACTAAAACATAATTTCTCTAAAAGCCGAAGGCAAATTTGGATTGGAATTAGGATCGTTAACTAGAACAGAAAGATTTTTTTATGAATGTAAAATGCCTCTAGAAAATCCAGTTCTCCAATGGAAGATGTTTTTTGAATAACTTTGGCAGCAGAAAAATTGAAAGTGTGATTTTCGGACCAACAATGTTGAGCAACAGACGACTTCTGTGTTTCCTTTTTTCTAACATATGCCTCATGTTCTTTGACGCGAAATTTTAAGGCTCTCTTAGTTTGGCCTATGTAAATTAAACCGCACTGGCAAGGAATCCTATAAATACCCCAGGAATTCATATCCGGAATGGGGTCCTTGAGTATAGAAGTTGGAATTTTATTGATGGGAGAGTAAACAACCCGAAAGTTAAATTTCTGCAAATATGTGCAACTTTATAGCTAATTGATGGAAAGAAGGGAATGGCAACAGAATTTTTATAATCTCCTAAAATAAGAGTGTGGCTTTTAGTGTGTTGAGATGAGAATTTTTTAACTGCTTGATTAATAATGTTGGGTGAAAAGCCCCTGTCAATAGCTATTGCTTTTAAATAATTTAGTTCTTCATCAAGGGCTAACTTCTATACTCAAGGACCCCATTCCGGATATGAATTCCTGGGGTATTTATAGGATTCCTTGCCAGTGCGGTTTAATTTACATAGGCCAAACTAAGAGAGCCTTAAAATTTCGCGTCAAAGAACATGAGGCATATGTTAGAAAAAAGGAAACACAGAAGTCGTCTGTTGCTCAACATTGTTGGTCCGAAAATCACACTTTCAATTTTTCTGCTGCCAAAGTTATTCAAAAAACATCTTCCATTGGAGAACTGGATTTTCTAGAGGCATTTTACATTCATAAAAAATCTTTCTGTTCTAGTTAACGATCCTAATTCCAATCCAAATTTGCCTTCGGCTTTTAGAGAAATTATGTTTTAGTTCTGGTTTCGCCAACAGATGGCGCCACTTGCTTATTCTTGTCCAGGCTTTCTTATCTTATCTAAACATTATTTCCTATCTTGTTCATTTGCGGTTTTGCAGCTGAAGATGATGGTTCGGTAAAACCATCGAAACTAGTCCTGTGAAAATTTTGTAAATTAACGCAGATTTTTGTTGTTTGACTTCTGAATTAGTATTTATTCGGCGTGTTATTGTGTCTTAATTATAGAAGCCCCAAACAGGCTTACATTTTGCTTTCTTTTTTGCACGTGGTGTGGCCGCCATTTTGTGATTGTAGGAGTTTCGGTGAGTACATTTTTGCAATTTTCAAGTTATGTTTATGTTTTGTACATTTGGATATTGTGCTTTGCTTGTCTGATTTCATGCGTTTTGCTTACAAACATTTTGTTTTCTATTCATTTCAGTGAGGGATTTTTCTGCTATTTTGTGTGTACTTTATTATTGCTCAGTTAATTTAGTTTGATTTTCTGCATTGTTTATCATGCCTTCATCCGTTAATCATTTCACTAAATTACGCCTGAAAACAGCAAAAATTCCTGAATCATCTTGACTTTTTTACTTAAATGTAAATGTAAAAAATTGATCCCCAATTTTATTCAAATCAAATCTAATCAAAAACCTTCGAGTCGCGTTTCAAGAATTCTGTTAAATTGCAAGCTTGCCTTACTTCGGTCCGTGATAAGGGATACACGTCAACAATTGTCCAAAATTGAACATGAACTCTATAAGCTTCATCTGGAACTCGCTAAATCATATCCAAAATTCACTGCCCTTGAACAAAAGTCTTGGTCTAGAACGGAGAATGCAGTTAACCGTCATAAAAACACCCTTGCAGTTAAATTTGAAAAACTTCTTTTACAGTCTTCCAGTTCAAGTAGTTCAAAAAATCTTACCATTGTAAACATCAAGCCAATAGTTAATATTTCTAATGTTAGTCTTTCAGAAGAACAAGAGAGAATTCTAAAATATAATTTTAACTTCTCACAAACCTGTAATCCCTCGATTCCAAAGATTTTGGCTCCTATCGAAAAAGCTTTCAAGTTTAGTAAAGTTTCAGATTCACAGAAAGAAATGATTAGGCATCTTATCGCTCAAAATGTGAAATTCAAAATTGAAATAATAAACCTTTGAAACCAAATCTAACTGCGAGAGAAAGAGCTACAATGCGCGAGATTCATTCTAACCCGGATATTGTCATTTCAAAGGCCGACAAAGGTGGCCAGATAGTCGTCATGGATAAGAACACTTACATCGATGGTGTCACTAAACTCTTAAACGAAGGACCATATAATCCGATCCCTAAAGATCCTTCACCTTCTGACTTATCCAAAATAAAAACTGCGATCAAATCTTCGCAAATCATTTCAAGCAACTTAAAACATTCACTTATCCCATCTGTTGCGAATTGTCTCAGATTATATGCTCTTCCCAAAATTCATAAAAGTGGTATTCCTTTCCGCCCTATTGTATCAAATTTAGGTACTGCCTCGTATCCATTAGCTAAATATTTAGTTTCTAGATTTTCCACTCTATTAGACTATTAGACAATAACATTTACACCATAAAAAATTCAATAGAGTTTGTAAAAAAGGTTAAAAACATTTCTCCTCGTAATTTACTCATGGTTTCTTTTGATGTAAAATCATTATTCACCAATGTCCCAGTGGAGGGTGCATTAAGATGTCTAGAAACCAGACTTCGCGAATTTCATTTCTCTTGCATCGAAATTGATGAGCTAATTTCTCTCACTCAACTCTGTTTGAATCAAACACATTTCGTTTTCCAAAATAAATATTACAAGCAAACTGAGGGATTAGCCATGGGAAGCCCCCTCAGACCCATCCTGGCTGATATCTACATGCATTATTATGAATCAAAATTATTTGAAACTTTAAACTTCCCGGCATGGTTCCGCTACGTAGACGATACTTTTACCCTGTTTGAAGGTAATAAAGATGATTTAAATAGAGTTCTTTCAACAATGAATTCTATTGATCCTGCTATTCAGTTCACTTTTGAACTTGAGACTTGCAATTCTCTTCCGTTTCTCGACATTCTGGTCACACGTAACACATCCAACTTCAGTACTACAGTTTACCGTAAACCTTCATCGGTTTGCCTTCCACCACACTTTAAATCATGTCATCCGACTAAACAAAAGTTAGCTTCATTTTATTCCTATGTTTTCCGTGCTCTTCAAGTTTGCTCCTCCAAAACTAGCCCTTGATGAAGAACTAAATTATTTAAAAGCAATAGCTATTGACAGGGGCTTTCAGGGGCTTTTCACCCAACATTATTAATCAAGCAGTTAAAAAATTTCATCTCAACACCACTAAAAGCCACACTCTTATTTTAGGAGATTATAAAAATTCTGTTGCCATTCCCTTCTTTCCATCAATTAGCTATAAAGTTGCACATATTTTGCAGAAATTTAACTTTCGGGTTGTTTACTCTCCCATCAAGGACCCCATCCCGGATATGAATTCCTGGGGTATTTGATTCCTTGCCAGTGCGGTTTAATTTACATTGGCCAAACTAAGAGAGCCTTAAAATTTCGCGTCAAAGAACATGAGGCATATGTTAGAAAAAAGGAAACACAGAAGTCGTCTGTTGCTCAACATTGTTGGTCCGAAAATCACACTTTCAATTTTTCTGCTGCCAAAGTTATTCAAAAAACATCTTCCATTGGAGAACTGGATTTTCTAGAGGCATTTCACATTCATAAAAATCTTTCTGTTCTAGTTAACGATCCTAATTCCAATCCAAATTTGCCTTTGGCTTTTAGAGAAATTATGTTTTAGTTCTGGTTTCGCCAACAGATGGCGCCACTTGCTTATTCTTGTCCAGGCTTTCTTATCTTATCTAAACATTATTTCCTATCTTGTTCATTTGCGATTTTGCAGCTGAAGATGATGGTTCGGTAAAACCATCGAAACTAGTCCTGTGAAAATTTTGTAAATTAACGCTGATTTTTGTTGTTTGACTTCTGAATTAGTATTTATTCGGCGTGTTATTGTGTCTTAATTGAAAGAAATGTTTAATAAAGTAAACAAATAAATATTAAGCTTTTTTTTTTGTAAATTTTGATACCCTTTAGATCATAATTGTTCTTTATTTCATAAATTACGGTTTGATATTTTTAATTTTATAATTTCTGCATGCCATCTTACCACATTTAAACTGATGATCCATAATCCGGAAAAATCGATAATCCGGAATTGCCGAAGTCCCGACGAGTTCGGATTAACGACTTTTGACTGTATTTATTTTAAATAACAATTTTATTTAATTTGCTATTCTTTCCTATAAGCCTTCATTCCCCAAATCGTTAGTCCCAGAATATTTAAATTTTGGTAGCGGGCATGAAGGAATGCAAATTCTACATTGAAGAAAGAGTTTAAAAACAGAGTTTCAGTAGAAAAGAAAAAGAGTTAGGCTACTGCCTTCACCTCTGCAGTATAAGCATTTGCTCCTAGAGTTATTGCTGATTCATGTGGCTTAACTGCATTTACTTGCTGCCATTAGTTTTCAACGAGGGTTTAAGAAAGGGGATTTAGCTGAGCCCTGTAGTTTAATTCTATCACTAGTTCAGAATTTTAGTTTTGTTATCTGAATTTCAGTTACCGCCCAAGACGAGGCGTAGTCTGTTAGCATCGAGTTGACACATTGTAAATTTTAAAGAGTTAATAAAGGGTACTATTAACCCTTCTTCTGTGAAGTTACTACTCTGCCAGTTTTCACACAAAAGTGAATCTGTAGGACTCTACAATTTATTAAAATTTTTTTGTAAAATAATTTAAAAAATTTTATGTTTTTTCCTGTGTGGACATTACTAATTTTATATCGATCAAAATTTTAACAAGTGTACTTCTACTCTTTCTATCAACTCTGCCAAAATGTGCAAATTAAGTGAGTTTAAGCTTAAAGTCACCAACAGGTAGACTTGCTACGTAGGCCATGCAAGTAATAGTCCTATAATTGGAAGATGAACTACATCCCTGGGAGATCTAATTTTGTAGCTGATATGTTATCATACCTTGTGTGTAACCATGAAGGAGAATCATGAGAAGTTTGCATGATAATCATAACCAGAAGACATGAACCTTCATGTTCATGCTTCAGGTTGACATATTGATATATGCCAAACAGAAGTGCAGCAGAAATTCCTGAAGAACAGCTAATGGATACAGATTTTAAGATCATAGAGTATTTCAAGAGTGAAGCAAGAAAAAAGATTTTTTTAAATTGGACCAGATGAGGTAAGATGGTATTTTAAAATAACAATTGTTTTGAAGGAAGAGCAAAATTGCATTGCTGTATTTACTCATGTATTACCATGTCTTATTCCCTGGTACTTAGCTTTTTAGTACCAGGTTCTGAAAATTTTAAAAATATTTACATAATTTTCTACTTTTTCAATGTGTTTCCTTATATTTTAAAATGGTGATCCACATAGTGATTATTTTTGCCTTACTAACAAAGACAAACCTTCCCTAACTATCTGTGAAAGTCACGGCAAACTTTTCTCTTCTAACTGTTGAAATTTACTCCAGCTTAGTATAAGAACCAACCAACTGCAATGAAGCAAACATGAATTGACATTCAGTCTACGATTTCACTAAGTCAGCTTCACATTCACCTTCCCTAATTATTTATATATAATTTGACGTCTAAGGAGTAGCAAAGGCAACAATAAGAATGAGCAAGATGCGAAATAGAAATAAAGATACTTTGTTAGCTATTGTAATGTTAATATTACTAGATATTTTTACTGGAATGTAAATTCCTTTTTAAAGAAATAATATTGTGATAGTTACCTTTAGTCTACCCATGATTCTTTTCATTTGCTATGTTCTTATTGTAATAACATCCTTCAGGAATTGAATTATTCACATAATTTTCTCTCAATTTTCAAGCAATAAATTTAGTTAAAAAAAAATGGGGATACAGAATTTTTCAGCCAATATAATGAGATTTAAATGCAAACACACTATAGCATTAAGGTAAAATAAGTAAAGAACTGCAATTTTTAAAGGTAATTATTAACTTACAAAGAAAAACATAACATTAAACTTACCATGGAATGTAAAATTTTACAAAACTGAAATCTTTAGTCACAGCATTTTTAAAATTGTCATTTGTAAGCTTCACGACCATGTTAGGCTGTAAAATCATACACAAATTTTTCAGATATTAAAGTATTTAAGAGCAGATTAAATCATATATATAATCATATATATGCACACACATGGACAAAAACAGCCATTTTTAAACAGAAGTAATTAATGAAACCATACTAAAAACAGTACCCCACATAGACATTTTAAAAACTTTTGCAAAGGTAAAAAAATAAAAAACTATAAGAATAATAATCGACAAAATCCCGCTCTTCCAAATGAATTTATATTTATATACATTACTGCATTTGCAAAGTGGAAAAAATTAAATTATATTTTATCAATTCCATTATAAAATTATTATAAAAGAGAAGAAACAAATTTTACCATTAACTATAACACAACTATGGATAAATTAGATACATTAATCAGAAATACATGCCCCTGACAAACATACCTCATTATCTTTTGCTTCTGGTATTTTACCCTCTTCATTTTCAAGCATAGCTTTATGAGCTGCTTTCATATCTGTTATGAACTGCTTAAAAGCCACTAAATTTCTTGCTCCTTGGTATTTTTCCATCTAAAAAGAAAGAAAACGCAAGTTAGCAAAAGGATTACCTAATGCCACATATAACAATATCAATATTAAATTAAGCAGTGAAAATTAAATTCACATACTTAAAATTTTGCAGTATATACATCCAGTACACATGACTAGAGCACATAAGCCATTTAGGGAAGTTCAACAATGGATTACTAAATAAATAATGATGACTTCTGCTTTTAAAGGCTGCCTAATTAATAGTCTGTTAAAAACTAATGGCAAAAACAAAAGGACACAAAAGAATTATTTGATTAAGAATAATATAATGATAAATAATTTTTAAGACAATTATTTGTGACTATTTTCTGTCACATAATGATGTCTTTATCTCGCAAACATTTTCTTAAGCATTTAAAAAAAACTATAAAGAGTTCATCTAATTTTATTGTGTGGAAATATGAGAAACTTGACAAACTGAATAATATCCCTACAATTATAAAACACAATGGGTACCTGATGAAGAATTCAAATTTTAGCTTGCAGAATATCTTAGAGGGAGCAAGACATGTGTAGTAAATTATGTTTACAAAGGTTACATACAGAGAGTTATATTTATATGCTGCAGAGTGCTCATCATCTTTAATTCAATGCCAAGAAATTTTCAACGACAACAAAACTGCCTTTACAAAATGCAACTGAAATCATTAAAAATGTAGATAAAATAAAAGAATATCTCATTAATGAACATTACAGATGAAAGTAATGACGCAATAACATTTGAGTTACTGGTACAGTAGGAAGTCCGTAATCCGGACGTCCATTATCCGGAATGATCTATAATCTGGACCTCAAAGCCACAAACCTTTTTTTTTTTTTTTTGGGTATGCTTTACGCATGCGCATAATGCGTTTACCATGCGCATGCGTAAAGCATACCATAATGCAGGCATAAAGCATGTGCATAATGCGTTTACGCATGCACGTTTAATGTATAACGGATGGTATAAGCTAGGCTGAAATTATCTTTACTTATTCTAAGGCATTTCAGTTAAATTTGCAGATTGTGCTGTTCCTTAATCTTCTAATTGGATCGGCTTATTATTTTTTGCAGACTGTTAGAGCAATCTTATAAAAATTAAGCTTGAACTTTGGATTAGTCAAAAAGAGTTTCCAATTCTGGAGCTGCCAAAGGATCACAAAGCATGTTTCGATGTACCGCTTCCGATAGTGAAGAAAGTGACAGAGAGCTTATTGAAAATGAAAAAATTTCGATTGACAAGTTAGTCGGTATTCTAGACACAGCAATTACAGGACTTGAACAGTGGAACTGTTCAAGAATTATGTCTGTTTATAGAATTAAAGAGAAAGTATTAGCACAAAAAACGAAGCAACTTAAACAACTCACATTGAAAGAAATGTTTAATAAAATAAACAAATAAATATTAAGCGTTTTTTTGTAAATTTTGATACCCTTTCGATCATAATTGTTCTTTATTTCATAAATTATGGTTTCATATTTTTAATTGTATAATTTCTGCATGCCATCTTACCAGATCTAAATTGATGATCTATAATCCGGAAAAACCCTTAATACAGACGATCCGCCGAAGTCGACGAGGGTTCATAGCCACATTTTAGTTGTTAAAAAAATAAGCACCTATAAGCACTTTTCAAGCACATTTTAAGAAAAAAAATAAGCACCTGCCTAATTACATCATACACAACTGCATAACCTTAAAAATTAGACTTGTAATTTAAAACATGAGAAATGAAGTACTTATTAAGAGAGAATAAGCATTACCTCAACCATGGAAAATAATTACTTTTTTTTTGTTTTTAATTTTAAATAATAGTTCAATTTACAGAACTAGTTTACAATGAGAGAAAAAAAAACTATGAAGAACTAAACTATATTACAAGATTTAATGATGAAATTTCAGTTCAAAATAGAGAAAATAAATAATAATAATAAAGCATATTTATTGTATTCGCTTGAAACCTAATATTAAATACAATTTATTTTCCCACTCATATTGCTATTTAAATAATTTAAATCTAAATTCTGAACATTTTCTAAATTTTCATTGTATATCAGTTTTCTCTTAACAGATATTGCAAGCAAAGTAATTTAAGTAAAAAAGAGGAACATTTCTGAAATCAGAAGACAGAAATTTGCTTCATGCAGTCATCTTTAACAGTAAAAGCTTAACTAATCCGCATACTTGGAAATTGGCGAATATTCGGACAGTCGAGCGTAACTTGAAGTAGCGGAGGGGGGGGGGGTAGACTGTAGCCGCTCTTTAGATTTTTCCGCTAAATAAATGCTTTTGACATTTCAGTATGTGCATCATATAAAAATAAGCCAACCAAACTAAAAAATATTCCGCTTAGTAAGGACAGTAAAACTCTTTTAAGTGCTCATAAACAAATCTCGAACTGAACATCAAAACTAATTATCTCTGCAAAATATCGCAAACGTTATTGCGCAATACGTGCGCTGTAATTCTTCACTACGTGATATTATGCAATCGGAATCAACAACTGCCGGTATTGGGAGAAAAAAGAACTAAAAAAAGGAAAAGAAAGAGGCTTAACCAATGATTACCAGGTGTGTTTTTCATTCTAATTTTCAACAGACGGCGTTAAAATTTAACAGATGACGGAATAGAATCATTCTTCGCTTAGGATGGTAGACCGCAGAACTTTTAGTCCTATTCGATCCAGATTGGAAAGTGACCCCCCCAAAAGAAAGGTCCGTTGCTTGTTTTGCAGCGAACTGTAACAGTTTCAATATTCAAGATTTTGCGGAGAAAGGGGAGACCTCCCAACCTTCGTACTGTTTAATGTATTGGCCAAAAAAAATTAAACTATTTTGACTATTCGATTACTTTTCCTTTATTTAAGCCATTCCGAATATTATTCCTTAGAAAAGCTAATCTGTGTTAAAACACAAACATTTTTGGAAGTTTACTATACTTCAGCAGTTACTGCAACTATGTTATTATAAACATTCATACATATGCTCATAATATAAGCATAATGATCATAATAAACACGAATATGAACTGACCAAGCAGAATGAGAATGCAAATCTTTTTAAGATCTTGATATAAATTTAAACGTGTGTAGTATTTGGGTGGGAAGAAAAGAATGCCGAATATAGCGGAATTTTCTACTGCTTTCGCAATTCTTTGACCAATAGAACGACGGGCACCTGTCTGTACTCTTCGTGCACACCAAAGGTTATGTTAATGCAGAGAAAGGGGCAAAAGCTATTTCCGGGAGTATGACTCACCATCTGACATTCCATATTAGAAAGAAAAGTTGTTTATTTAATTTCGGCTTTGTTACGGGGAGAATAGCACATTAATAATAATAATAATAATAATAAAAAAAAAAGCACTAAAAGCAAAAAAATAAGCACTAAAAACAAAAAAATAAGGGCTTTAAAGAAAAAAAGTAAGCACCTATAAGGGCCTTTATATTTTATTTTCAAATATAAGGACTTATAAGCATTTATAAGGACCGCTATGAACCCTGACTGTATATGGTCCAGGATAGCATTTCAATGGTATATAAATTTTTCCTGATTCTATCAAGAATGCTTAATAAAAGAGAAAAGATTTTGCTATGCTTCTATTATTAAGTCTCCCAAATTTAAAAATACATATATGTAAGATTAAAAATATGAAAGCAAACTTCTAAATTTAATTCACTATAACCTCTTTTATTTTCCATTTCATTTGGGAACTTCATCTATCTGTCCTAAAAATAGCGCTGTAAGTCTAAACTGCATCATTCATATTAATCATGAGATCTTACGTAACCCTTAATGCAGATGCCTCTTGACCAATCACCAAATTGCAAAGCAAAACTTTTCTCTTCGCGTGCTTCCATCTTGCATTACTATGCACTTCAGCTTTGCTCTCTACTGTGCTAAGATGTAATTTTGCTGGCTTGCTTTTCTATCTCAACAATATTAGAAATGTAAATCTTCTGTGGAAAGGCACGACTGGAGTGCCAAGTGATTGTGGCCACAAATATCAATTGCAAATAAAAATGGAATTAAAACTGCTTCGACTGCCAAGTTCTTTAGATATTGCCAAGTTAACATTATTAGCATACTACACAATCAAAATTCTTCTTCAGTATGGATCTAAGCACGCATTGACACTGCTCCGGCTTTTCTTTGTGCTCATAAACAAAACTGTCCAAGTTGGTACTATGGATAAATTTCTTTTGTGACAAACTTATTTCTGATAGAAAATATAACATCTTCAGTGCTTTATTAAATGATCCTTCAAGCCCTAATCCCTGCTAGGACTATCAAATTGAAAATGGATAACAGAATCAAAAATATATTCAGGAGAAGTTTTAAGATTTAAGAAAGATATTCATTCATAGCCATAGACATTCATAGCAAGGTTTAATAAAAATATTCATTCTTTACTAAAAGAATTAATAGAACAATTTCATCTTTCATTAAATACTGAAACTTTGCAACAAATATCTTATTTTTTCATTGTAAGAATGCCTTAACCCAATAAAATCTTTCAAATGCCTTAAAGATATATGAAATTAAATGACAAGGGATGCATTTATCTTCCCTAGGAAAGCAAGGTAATAATATTAATATTACTATTAAAATGCAGCACCAAAATAAATGAACATAGTGATTCCATTAACCTTCCAGTACACGCATATGCACAAAATTTACGACAAATTAAGTTTTTAATACACATTTTTCTCATATCAAAGCTGAGACATCTGAAGGTCATTTCTATTTCTTCTTTCTACCCTTCCCCACATCACGGAATGTGCCAATAGGAAGTCATTTGACTTTTTTTTTTAACTGGGCTTTTGTGCTACGTGGCAGCATTTTTGTAAAGTTTCGTAAGTGGGTGAAAATTCGAAAAATATTTTTTTTTCCTCAAATATTTCGCAATTTTGTGTTATTAATTGCCGTGTGTTATTTTAATTTGAATACATTTGGCTCTGTAAATTTTATATAGGTTTTCATGGCAACCAGCTGATTTTGCTCGCATTCTTCTAGAATTATATGATGAAGAAAAGGAAGACAAGGAAACCTTTAGATGGGAGAACAATAGCGATTTCCATTCCTTATTTTCTTTTATTTCTATTTTTTAGAAATAAAAAAATATTAAAGTTAGTTTAAAGTGCGTTTTTGTAACCAGTAAGAAGTAAATTTCCTTGCAGAAGTAAGTAATGCTAAACTTACTTTTTTTCCTACCAAGGTGTTTTCCTTTTTTATTTGTCTATACTTGCCTTTGATGAATATTAAAATTACCTTTGATTTTAAATATAATTATTAAATAATAAATTTAAAATTTTCTATAATGAAATACATCATTGCACTTCCATCTCACTAACACAAGAACTTAAAAATAGCTTACTTATATTTGAATGTGATATCATTTGCATTCTGCAATAATAAGATTAATATTTTATTTCTTAAATTTATTATCAATATTCACTCATTTCTGTCGTTTTTCGTGCCGAAAACGGTAAAACAACGGATGTCGTAAAAAATATGACAAGCACGCACTCATGTAAAATTGCCCAGCGCGTGTGCTGGAAGGTTAATGAAAATTCTTTTACTGATCTGGCTGACTGCTTGTTTAAAGTTTGTGTTTTACCTCACTAAATGTTAATATTAATTTTTTATTAAGTGTAAATTTAACTTCACTGAAAAAAATTAATCTTAACATGTTTATGAATATTAAAATTATTTATTTTATCACATATCACAAGCAGTAATATTTGGAATACATTGCATGAAATTTAGCATTCAAGAAAGCGTGAAATTGAGCATTCAAGAAAGAAAATTCGAATTTTTAACTACAAAATCTAACAAAATATTTTTGAAGGAAGATGTAAGCATAATTAGACAAATTATTATTTTTTAAAGAAGTATCACATAATAAAAAAAATAACTATACATTTGCTCAAAGTAGTATTGATGCTCTCATAGATTACAAGTATTCAAGATAGTCTACATGTTCTATTAATATAAATAAAATATATTAAGAATAGAAATGAATAAATAATAAAAATCAGTACTTTTCGTCTATCTGCCCGTAAATCTGGCGGCAATCTTACCTCATTTTGTTTTGGTGACCACATTTATTCTCAAAATCCACTTTTTTTAATTCTGTTCTTATAATTAATTTCTCATTGTCTTATTATTAATTATTCTTATGCATTATTATAATGTATTATTTGTTCTTATGATTTAATGATACTGCAGACAGATAAAGGAAAAACTTTTATGTTTTGTACTACAGGGAATCTTGGTCACCTTATTAATCCATTCCAGATCTTTGGACTTGTATCAAACTTGACATATACCAGAAAAATTTTTCCATTAAGAAATAAACAAAAAATAATTCATCTGTTCTTAGGGGGGAAAAAAAAATTGTTATAACACTGTTTAGCACTAAAATACAAATGCAGCAGGTGGGATACATATACTGTATATCGATGCATTTATATTATCCAGATCAAAAGCAATTTCTCAGCATATTCTAGATATTTGCTAATTGGTTTGGTTTGGCTTTGGTTTATGTGATTATGGCAAAGCCTCAAGGACTATCTACCTAAGGAGAGGGATGCCTTCATGGAAGACTTTCTAAAGTAACTGGCTCATATACATGTTACACATGGGGATAAACATGAAAACGTTTTTCCCCATGTGTAACATGTATAGCCAGCCCATTCAGAGGATTCGAACCTCAGACCCAAGTACAAGTGTTCAGCGACTTTCCCACTCAGCCACTGGTGGGCTTATTTGCTAATTCATTTCAACTCCTGTTATCTGATCTATGCCAACTGATTTCAATTCCTTTGCAATGCTAGTCGATTTAATAACGCCATTGATTTTTCAGTCATAGATACCATCATTCTCCACACATGATATGTAATACCCAAATCTCAGATATGCATGCCAACTTCATACTTTCTAACAATATCCTTTTTTACCTCCATGGTGATACTAACAATAAATCTTCTTTCTTGCTTGACTTTTCCCATTAATTTCATTTAATTTCTTTAAATATAACACAGGGCTCTAATATTTGATGGCAACAATTTGAAAAGTGAACCGACATTTATAGTGAATCAACACAAAATGCCAAAATGAAATTAATAGCCCTTCTGGGCTAAAAAAAATTACATAAAAATTAGAGTATCATATTTCAAACAAACATCGTACACTAAAGAAAAATGTTTGCATCCAAACAGAAGGTATATCAAGCTGGACTTATTTCAAAGTGGGAATATGCTGAGGTACCATTATACATTGAAATGAACTGAACTTCTTACCTTTTTGCCATTTACTATCCAAAGTAAGGTAGGATATCCTTTAACTTCAAATTCTTCACAAGATTTCCTATTTACAGTGCAGTCTACCTAGAACAAATATCAAATTTACAATATTTATATTAACTACTGAACATATATTTCAGGGTTAGTGCTAGAATATGATAAAAATAACCATTCATAAAAATACACTCATGTCCATAAATTAAGGATAATTCGGAGTCACGCGGAAATCGAACTCTAAAATTAATATATCATCTGTAAAATCACTACACACATCTTCAAGAATCATATGCAAATTTCAGGAAGTAACCAGATGACACTGATGGTACGTCACAATAACGAGAGTGTAAGAGAGTGATATATAAGGAATACAGGCAAAGAAGTAAAATTGTTCGCAGGCGCTTTATAAGCATTTCAGTGCAATAACCAAATAGTTATGACACAAAGGATGCATTCGGATGATTTTTTACGTGGTAAAATTATCGGCCATCTGGAATGTGGGCGTACCCAACTGGAAGTATCAGACGAACTTGGAATTGCCCAGAGTGTCATCTCCAGGCTTTGGCAACGATTCCAAGATGATGGTAATGTGAGTAGACATTACACCACAGGTCGCCCCAGAGTTACAACGCCGAATGAGGACCGGTATTTGGCAGTTACTGCCAAAAGAAACAGGCGGAGCACAGCCTCAGACCTGTCTCGTCAGCTCTCTTCAGCCACTGGTACGACAATTTCAAGGCAGACTATATACAGACGCTTAGGGCAGATTGGTCTATATGCTCGTAGACCTGTCAGATGTGTTCGACTTACTGCAACTCATTGTCGCCTGCGGTTAGCTTGGAGTAGAGAGCATGCATTGTGGACACCGTAACAGTGGGCTTGTGTTACATTTTCTGACGAGTCCAGGTTTAGCTTGCAGTCTGATTCTCGCCGGACTTTCATATGGAGAGCTCCAGGTACCCGTTACCACCAAGAAAACATCATTGAACGACACCATTATGGTGGTGCAGAAGTGCTCGCTTGGGGTGGAATTATTCTGGGTTCCAGAACTGACCTGCATGCTCAAATTGGAACCATGACAAGCCAAATCTATCGGGACGTCATTCTGGAACAACATGTATGTTTGTTTCAGGACGCCATGGGCGCACAATTTGTGTTTATGGATGACAACGGCCGTCCTCACGGTGCAAACATTGTAAGCGAATGCCTTCAATTGGAGGATATCACTGATGCTAAAGCAAAGTTTAAAGTTTAAAAAAATTAAACATTTAGCAATACTAGCAATAAAAGCTCCCTGAGATAATATGTTGTGCAGACATTGAAGGCAATAAAAGTTTTCGAACTTAACCAATTTATTAACAATATAATAAAGAATAAAAACACAGAAAATAAATTTAAACAATATCAGAGTCTTAGGAAAAATATAATATAACCATCATTCATCAAATAATATTTTTACCTGGTCTCCAAAAACACTGGCATTCAATACAAACAAAAATGTCCTAAACAGTAATTATGCGGCCTCAAAATGAAGTTGGCTACACATTCAAAAAGTCCATGATCAATGGTCGAGAAAACACCTGAAATTTAAATCAAGTTCTTAAAAGCACTTAAAACCAGCCTAACTCCGTTTGCATTAGTTGAACACGAGGAATCGCAGCTAACGTATTTTAAATGTCACCTTCATTGAAGAACATGGATGCCGCCCATGGCAGTCACTCACATGGTAGCCTCTGGAACCAAGGAACTCATTCTGGAACAATAATCTTGTGGATATGAACCAAGGAACTCATTCTGGAACAACCATCTTGTATACAGGAACCAAGGAACTTTATTCAGGAACAGTCATCTTGTGAACAGGAACCAAGAAACTTTATTCACCGGACTGCATGCATCCTTCTGAAGGGGCTGGAAATTGCACACCCAAGTGCCAGGAAAGCAGGAACTACAAGGATTGAGCCAGAGCGACGCGAGATACTTATAGCAGAAGTAGGCATGACGTCATCTCACGGCAACCAATCAGCTATCGGCACGAATCGGCTTTCCAGATGACGTAACATCACATTTCGTTTTTGCATCTCAATCAGGTTGAAACAGTCCGTTCTCAACGCAAACAGTGGCAGTAAGAAAAAGAAGTAGAAGTAACTATATTACATTAAAATAAGAACTAAACTAAATAAACATTTCAAGGAGGAGAGATGATGCAGTAAAAGGTTTACAATAAGTTATATTTTCCAACAATCACCAATATGGACTGGCCAGCATTCTCACCAGACTTGAATCCAGTAAAGCACATGTGGGACATGCTTGGCCGACTAGTTGCAGCCTGTCAGCCTCCGCCTACATGTCTACCGGAACTTCGGAAAGCATACCTTTTTGAGTGGTGTAATATCCCCCAAGATCCGATCGATAATTTGATACTCAGCATGCCTAGGCGTTGTACAGACTGTAAAGGATAGTCCGGGAGACATACAATGTATTAGCAATCATACCAACCATGTAATATTGGTTTTTTGTAAATAGGTTTTTTGTAATTTGCTCCAGCTAGAAAAAATCGCTAATTTTTTGAATAATATCAAACATATAGCATCTTTTTTTGCTTTTTACCTTTTGTTTAATAAATAAGCTTTACAAATAAGTCAAATTTGTCGTGCTTCTAACTCTTCCTTTGCCTGATTTTGCATTATCCTTAATTTATGGACATGAGTGTATTAATTATTTCAATCATAAAATTTGTATTCCTCATGTCTCAAGAGAGTAACAAGATATATATTACAGTACAAAGTCTGTAATCCGGATATCCATTATCCGGACCTCAAAGCCACAAACTTTTTTTCTGTATGCTTCATGCATGCACGGTTAATGTTTACGCATGCGTGTTTAGCACAAAAAATGAAGCAACTTAAACAACTTACATTGAAAGAAATGTTTAATAAAGTAAACAAATAAATATTAAGCTTTTTTTTTGGTAAATTTTGATACCCTTTAAATAATAATGGCTCTTTATTTCATAAATTATTTTTTCATACTTTTAATTATATAATTTCTGCATGCTATCTTACCAGATTTAAATTGATGATCTATAATGAAGCAACTGAAGCAACTTACATTGAAAGAAATGTTTAATAAAGTAAACAATAAATATTAGGCTTTTTTTTGTAAATTTTGATACCCTTTAGATAATAATTGCTCTTTATTTCATAAATTATGGTTTCATGCTTTTAATTGTATAATTTCTGCATGCTATCTTACCAGATTTAAACTGATGATCTATAACCCGGAAAATCGTCGAAGTCCCGACGAGTCCGGATTACAGATTTTGTACTGTATATTATATTTTGGTTTACACTTTTCCGTGCATAATTATACATATTAATAAAACCAAAACCTCTCACAACAAAAACGTCCTCAAGATAACCATGGGGTCTTATTATAAAAAGTATGTAATTTTAGGTGCTTTGTTTCATTTATCTTTATTCTTTTTTTTTAAATAATAAAATATCAGAAAGGTTGTATTGTAAAGCCATACCAAAACAAGAAGTTATTATGCTTACATAATAACAAGGAGTTAGATGCTTATATGTTCATTTAGTAAATGCTCATAGCTGGATAAATAATTAAATTCTATATTTTTATGCTGAGTAACATCTAAAAAATTCCTATGGAAGATAGAATTTTACAAATCAATAAAGAATCTCCAACTCTATGTAGAATCTAAAGTTATTCACCAGTATGTAGCATTTTCAGTTTTATTTAGCTGGTGAAGTTCACGTAAAAGTGTAACAAATTGAAGATTTGTACTCAAGGTAAAAATTTGGCAATTGATCTTGGTAAATGATTTATAATCATCTCATTTTCTCTTGATCATAATAAAAGATTGTCAAGAGCCTCAACAATCCCTTATACACACTGGTTATCATAAATTAAGGAAAAATCACAAAAATCACGATTACTGAAAAAGTTACATGTAGAATTTTATGAAACATACCCACAATATACAACACAAAGTAAGGAATCAAGTAACATAAAAATTAATTACCAGGCAATTATGGTAGTATAGAAATTAGCACATGTATAAAATGAACAATTCGAAGGTGTCAGTTTGCTATACGAAAAGTACCTTCAATATGGAACATGGTCGCCTCTAAAAGATATACAGCTCATACAGCAATGTGTGATGCTTTTATTTATATGCTCTATCAGTTTCATATGAAGCGAGAGCCATTGCTCTTGCAAAGCAGTTGCAAGTGCGGCAAGGGTCTGAGGCGGCGGATTGAGAGCAGCTAGACGTTTCCCTAAAGCATCCCAAACATGATCGATAGGATTCAAGTCCGGGGATCAAGCTGGCCACTCCATGCGCATAATTGTTTCCTGTTGAAGATAATCATCTATGATGCGAGCCCTGTGTGGTCTAGCGTTGTCGTCCTGTAACAGGAAAGCATCACCTATTCCCCCGGCATTTGGGCACACAATAAGCATGAAGGATGTCATCTCTATAAACCGGAGCATTCACAGTTTCCCTTGGAAGGACATGGAGGTTTGTGCATCCACCCAAAGAGATGCCACCCCAAACACAGACACTGCCTCTTTCATTTGTATGTCTTTCACGGATATTTGACGGATGATAACGGGTTCTAGGTTCTCTACATATCAAATAACACCTACTATCGCTTTCTAGATTAAACCTGGACTCATCCGTAAAGAGAACAGCCCTCAATTGATCAGGTGTCCAGTGGACATGTTGTCATGCCTACTGCAAACGGTCCCTCCTATGGCATGACGTGAGTGGCACGCAAATGGTTGGTCGTCTCGCATACAGACTATCTGTGAAGCCTTCTATGCACAGTTGACGTTGACACTAACCTTCCAGTGACTGCAGCAAGGGAGGATCTAAGAAGAGTCGGAGTAGTGGTTCCATTCCTGCGTGCACATAATGCCACATAGGAGCTATCTGCGCTCGTCGTAGCAGTTGGCCGTTCTTGGCTGAACCTCCTAGATGCCGAATCTGTGGTTTGAAATCGCCTCCAAAGTCTATGAACCACAGAAGGACTTACATTAACCATCTGGCCACTTCTGTTTGACTTTGTCCTGCCTCTTGTGCCCCAATGGCTCTCCATCATAGTTTTGCAGGCAAATGATGCCTGGAAGTCATTGTTACGAATTGCCTATCTCAGATTTCTGATGTCACTATCACAGTGAAATATGTGGGCTTGCTCTCAAACATGGACTTTTATTCTCCTCACAGATGGCATATTCCAATGCAGTGCCACTAATTTGCATATTGCAGTTTTACTCAGCTACTCTTACTTGGTAACATATTCATATTTTACACGGTTTGGCTTATTTTTGAAGAAGTTATCGCCATTTTTGTGATTTTTCCTTAATTTATGATAACCAGTGTATATATATTCCTGTTAGTGGATCATAGTACAAGATCCTCTGTTAATAAAAGGGCTTTTATGTCATTAATCTGTAAATTCATATCACTGGTCATGATGTTGAAAATGATCAAACTTAACTCTTAGCCTTGGGGCAACCCCTGACAAGACTGTTCTGAAAGGAGATACTGAGCTACCAAACCTAGTTGCCTTTTTGGACTAAAAAACCTGAAAGGTTTCAGATTTTAAATTATATCCAAAGGGGTGTTTTTTTGAGATTTTGTCAGTTACCTTTATTTATTAAATATCATGTTGTTCGCATTCAAACCATAAAATTCAGTTCAAGAGCAATATCACAAAATAGTTTTAAATTGAGCACATCTTTAGAACTTCCGATACGCAGTCTCAGGCACTAGAGATAAAAATGTTTTTTCTGTACAACGTTGCTCGCTTTGAAATCCTCGAGTTTGTTAATCAAAAATTCGTTAAAGATTTACAAAATATGAAATCTATAATAAAACAAATTCCAAATTTCAAATTTTTGCTTCTACATCCCATATCTGTAGGAGGATTACGTCATTCAAAATTTGATGGACAGTTGTTTTATCACAATGCTAGAAATATACATACATTTATGCAGATTTTTCATTATTTAATTTCTTCAAATATAATGTAGGACTCTAACTTTTGATGGCAACAGTTTGAAAAGTGAAACGGACATTTATAGTGAACCAACGCAAAATCGCAAAGCGAAAACTATAGTCCTTCAGAGACAAAGCCCCTTTGGACTAAAAAAACCATTGATCCATGAAGAATTTAATTCAATTATGCAAAGCACTCCTTTCAATAGATTTACCACCTAATATTCTACATTGTCACTAAAAATTAATGGTATTTAAAGCAGCAAAAATGGTTTTGTCAAAAAATTCTGAAATAAGATATTGCATGTTATAGAGAGGATTTTACTATAATAAACAGATCTTTTAAATCCCTTGCCTACAACCACAAAGAAACTGTTTACAAAAACTGTGTTGCCTGCTTCAAATGTACTAAAGAACACAAATGGGAGCACTGCCAAAATCAAGAAAGCCAAGCTTGTATTAATTGCATCTATTATAACAGCAAAATCATCGAAGTTAATAAGAAAAATGATGTTAAGCCTCTTTCAAAGAACTGCCCTTCTCATATTTTTATGAAAAATAGAACTGGCAATTCCTCCTTTTCTATTCTCAAAATTACTCAATTTAATCTTCATCATTCAAGAAAGCCTATCCAGCAGATTGTTTTAAATATAGAAAATTCTGATATTGATATAGCCTTTGTCCAAAAGCCTCACTTGTATAAAAGCTCCCTTCTCAACTTGCCTTTCTCTTACCAGGTATATTTTGATGCTAGGAAATCATTAAAGGTGTTATTATTTTACAAAATCAAGAGCTAACCACTTTGCTTGACATTAATAAGCTTGTTTATATAATACTGTGTTCCTTTGTATTACTCTCAAAACTCTTGATTTTATCTTTTTCTCACATTATTTAAACCTAACAGGAACACTTACTAAGATTTACAAATTCATGGAGCATTTGACTTAAAAATTTGTAATAGATTGATTTAAATAGCAAATCTGAAATCTAGCATAGTCCAGTTTTGGATTCCCGAGGTGTTAAGCTTTTGAATTTCGAAGTATGAATAATCTGTTTGTTATTAATGAAAACTGAGATCCTACTTTATGTAACACTCAAAGTTCAAGTTATACTGACATTACACCCCTGTGAGAGCTAACCTTCTCAAAGATATTTTGCATTGATGTCATCCAGACTATGAATCTTTCTTTGATCATAATATGATAGAGTTTCATCTATTTATGGCTCCTAATTACTCTCTTTATGATAGACACAACAGCAAGTTAGTCTTTAATGCAAAGAGAGCTGATTGGGATAATTTTTATTATTCATGTAAGCAGTGAGTTGATAATCTTTCAGAATTTATAAACTTCTGTTCAGATAAACATTCCTTAAATACTTCCCTACAAAATTTTAACTCCATTCTTTATAATGCACTGAATGCTTTCATGCTGGTCAAAAAAAGCTAAGTGGTAACAAGGTACAACTGAAATCGAATGCATGAGAAAGCAGGCTAATGCTGGTAGATGTAGGTTGAAATGAAATCAAATCTCAGAGACCTATGTAGACAAAAATTACCTACATTTAAGACATATGTACAGCTCAAAACTTAGCTCTCAAAATGATTTTTTACTGAATATTAATGAAAGGAATGTTTGAAAAAATACATATAAATGGTATTGCTATTACGATATGGAAGGGCTGACTGATTGGCAAAACAAGCCTTCAAGTTAACATCATAAGGACACTGCCCAACTCATTCGTCAATATCACTGATTTTTCAAAAGAAAGCATAAAGTGGGTGTAAAGCAGTTTTCAAGTGAAATGAATTATACGGAAATTATTCTAATGTTACTCCGACTAAATTAATTTAAACTTCTATTCCTGACTCAAAAATAAACATATTTTCTACAATTTGGAAATTACTAAATTTCTAACTGAGCATGTTAAATTCAATTCACATCCGAAGATAAGATATTCAGGTTATCTCAAGCAAACTTGTGTTCCTGTAACTTTTGGGGAAGGCAAAATGTCACACATTAGTTATTCTATTTTTCAAAGTTTATGCCGAGAAGAAAAGAACTCACGTCTCAGTTAAATTCTTTAAACATTAAGTTTCCTCCTCCTCTCCGTATGGTATTCTCTACTGTATGTATATTTATTTCTTACTTTTCATTTGTGAATTTATAATTTTTTTTTTAAAAAATTAGCTCTATAAGCCTTGTGTTATACTATGTGATGCACAAAGAGTTTAAATAATAAATAAATAATTTTAAAAAAAGATAGAGAGAGATGTGTGTGACTATTGATTTTGGTAACCTGCAAAGGATTAAGAACCGATTCTTATAATTGAAGTGGCAACAAACTACACTAAAATGTGATTAAATGTACTAAAATGTGACATATAATTTAACAGAAGGAAAAAACTAATCCTTATAACAAAAATTTACTCTTACCTTAGATATCATTACAGATTTGTCATGCTGAGAATTTTGTGCAAGTTCTTCCCATGCATGAGCCATTTTTTGACAATGCCCACACCATGGTGCATAAAATTTTACAAAATGCATTCCCCAATCAATGGTACTATGAAAATTCTCATCAGTAAGCTCTACAGCTCCATTTTCATACTTAATATTTGAGCTTATCGGAGGAACCTGAAATGAAAATTCTGATATAAATTTCAGATCTGATAACATTTATAATTTATCTAATTCAAAAGCTGGATTACAACTTCTCCATCAAGGACTTTTGTTACAATAACTATAACTTATTATTATAAATAAATTTAAAAATTAAATTCTTGTTCCAGAAATTATTATATTTACTTGAAAAAGAAAGGGTAAATCAGAAAATAATACCTAAAGGTTAATAGAAAATCCACCAGAAACAAACATTTAAAAAATGTACAGGAAGAGAAATGCATAATAAAAAGAAAGAAAATCTGCTAGCATTTATTTTTATTACATTGTATCAAATATTGAAAATAAGACGACATCTACTTAAAATCTGGATAAAGATACTAAAAAGATAAATCAGTAAATCACTTGCACAATTTTTAATAATAACACAAATAAAATAAAACTTCAGTTAAGCATCAAAAACTTTATATAAAAAATATAAATTAGCATTATTATCATTTAGACATACATTTGCTTTTTTCATATTAATTAAGATATCACTTTGAACATAACACACTTGCTCCCTACTCTTCAGCCTAGCTGGACTGCTGTTTGCTGCTTCCTCTTTATTGAAAAGTTATTAAAAATGTAAACCTCTTGAAATAGGCACAAATAATCGCCAACTTGCTTGAAGCTGCAACATGTTTACTGAAAAATGAAGATCTAATCTGCCTTCGCCTCCAGTTTCCTATTCATTATACATCAATATTTCTATGCGATTAAAATTCCTGCTGTTCATTACTTTTAAGTTTGTTTTTATTACATATGTATATATGTGTGTGTGAGAGAGAGAGAGAGAGAGATAATTTGGTGCAAATGACTTGAGGGTTAGAAGATCGCATAGATCCATAAGGTAACATAATAAAAGAGACGAAAAAGAGATCTAATCTGCTTTCACCTCCAGTTTCCTATTCATTATAGATCAATATTTCAATGCCATCAAAATTCCTGCTGTTCATTACTTCCAAGTTTTTTTTATTACGATGGGGAGTCAAATGAAAACCATAATTATTTTTTTTAATATTATTTATTGGTCACACAGGGTACAGAAGTAAATCACTTTTCAACATAGTCCCCTCCTCGTTCAATGCAAGTTCACCAGCGCTTTGGAAGAGCCTGAATACCTGCAGAAAAAAAGGCTTTTGGGCAATGGCGCAACCACTCGTGCACCGCGTTGCGTACCTCTTCATCGGAGTGGAACTTCCTGCCACCCATTGCTTCTTTGAGCAGACCGAACAGATGGAAATCGCTCGGTGTGAGGTCTGGAGAGTAAGGGGGATGTGGGAGGCATTCAAATTTCAGGTCTGTGATGGTCGCAACCGTTGCACGCGCCGTATGCGGCCGTGCATTGTCGTGTTGCAGCAGCACACCGGCTGACAGCAATCCCTGTCGTTTCGTTTTGATGGCAGGCCGGAGATGATTTTTTAGGAGGTCCGAGTACGTAGCACTTGTCACAGAGGTTCCTCGTGGCGTGTAGTGTTCCAAGATGATGCCCTTTTCGTCCCAAAAGAGGGTCAGCATAACCTTCCCTGGAGACGGCTGTGTCTGAAACTTTTTGGGTTTCGGTGATGAGGAGTGGCGCCACTCCTTGTTCGCTCGCTTTGTTTCAGGCCGATGGTAATGCACCCATGTTTCGTCACCAGTGACGATTCATGACAGGAAGGCATTACCGTCACGTTCAGCACACCACAAAAGGTCTTCGCATGCATCAACACGTCACTGTTTCAGTTCAGGCGTCAGTTGTCGGGGCACCCATCTTGCAGACACCTTATGAAACTGGAGAACATTATGCACAATATGATGTGCTGATCCATGACTCATGTGTACACATACTGCAATTTCGTCTATTGTCACACAGCGATTTTCCAAAACGATGGCTTCAACGGCTGAAATGGATTCTGGAGTCACTACGTGCCTGGCCGGGGCGTGGAGCATCGGTCACGGACGTAACACCATTTGCAAATTTCTGGCACCATTCATAGATTTGTGGCTGTGACAAACACGCATCTCCATACTGAACCTTCATTCGCCTAAAAATTTCAATCGGTTTCACACCTTCACTTCGCAAAAACCGAATCACAGAACGCTGCTCCTCGCTGGTGCATGTGGCTAGTGGGGCTGCCATTTTGGAACTGTTGTTGCGCCGGTGTTTGTGCTTCTGCCGGCTGCTGCCACCTAGGAGACATCCGGCATACTATCGCAAACAGGCATGCCAACTTACAGCTCACTGGCGCCATATGCGGATTTTTATTTCTACTTTTATGGTTTTCAGTTGACTCCCCTATGTACATATGTACATGTGTGTGTGTGAGAGAGAGATAATTTGGTACAGATGACTTGAGCGTTAGAAAATCGCATAGATCCATAAGGTGACATAATAACGGAGAAGAAAAAAGTTTAGTGAGGTGGCATTGATTCATACACAGTTTTATTTCATAATTAAAACAGGTTCACATACCATCAATATTGCTGCTCTAGGCATCCCACAATTGTACAGAAGACTATCAATAGAGCAGCCACACCATCATTTAGACTTTCGGCTCATATGCTCTATTGATGGGTACTATTCACCACTTGCAGCTCAGTGGCAATTATTATAACAATAATTATAACAAACATGATACATTACAATTTGTTAATGTACAAAGCATAAGTAATTAGAAATGTTGAATACATAATATAACTTTAAACTTAGATAACTTTAAGAATAAAATAAAAATATACAGTCTGTGTAGAAGTCCATATAAATATATGTAAAAGTCCATTTGTAGAAGTCCATATCTTGTAGACCCCACAATTGTACAGCTTACATCTTTTTAGAAAAAGGCAATTAACAGCAAGAGATGCATATTGGCAAGAAGCAAAGTCAAGCAGGAAAAATCGGACTGTGCACAGCAATGGCGGTCTTTAAGGACTTGATTCCTTTGTTTAAATTTTGAGTTCTGCGACTGGACAAGAGCCATTTGCAATGCAAGAGGATAAGATGATTTCGTAATTAAAACAGGTTCATACTATATCATCATTAGGTGCTCTATGCACCTCATAGTTGTTCAACTCACATCTTTTTAGACAAATGCAATAAACAGCAAAGGCATGAGATGTATGTTTGCAAGAAGCAAGGTGAAGCAAGAAAAAAGGAACCGAGCAATAGTAACAGCAGTATTTAAAGACCTTGATTTCTTTATTTAAATTTTGAGTTCTGTAACTAGATCAAAACCATTCATAATGCATGAGGATAAGATGACTTAGTGTGGATTAGTTTTTTGATATAAGGCAGTTTAGATTCCAAGAAGGGGATGCAGCCAAATTAAAATAAGTAACTAAGTTCCATATTTTTTATCTGATATACATATATATATTCCAGAAACATTCCCAGAAAATTTTTTTTCACAGCTAACTAAATTCTTAAATTATTCACAATAAATTAAATTCAGTAAATATTTAAAGGGTCACATAGCCTTCAAATGTCACTATAAAGCATTAATACTGATTAAAATTTAGATATAAGATTTTAATTGGCTATAGATGCATGTGACATAACATTTGACAACAGAATGAAGTAAGAGAATATGCAACTGTACTTAATAAATATGCATGTAGTAAATAAATAATATATTACAGTTAATAACTAATAAATAAATAAACAACAAATAAAATTCCCCTTTACTATGAAATACATCATTTTTCAAAAATATGTTTTACAAAAATTAATGAAAGTGATTAGGACAGCTTTTCTTTTGTTTTTAAATTATGAGCATAAAATGGTGCTTGCATTTTATCCACTACTAGAAAGTTTAGTTGTTGCCAAATGATACAGTTGTAACCAGGAGGCAGACATTTATTGGCAAAAACTATCTACAATAAATATCTTTTTCTCTCCATGTTAAAATCATATTGATCCATTAAGACCCTGTTAACTCTCATTATATTAACACAACCTGCAATATTAGCTTTGTATTTGTTGTTTACTTCAAAGGTACCTGGCCTTAAGATCTAACATCCCACTCCCAGAATCACAAATTGCTACTCAAAAGTTGATGATATTTGAATTTCCCTACAATGAAATCATATATCCAAAGAAAATTAGAAGTGGGTGGGCAATACAAAACAGTGCAGAGATATATTAAATAATGATTCAAGTAATTTATTTGAAGGAAGCTAGATCACATTTCGAATAATGATAAAATTAATATTATTGCGGCATGCACTGATAGTCAATTTTTTTTTAAGAATGAGCAATATATGGAAGATAAAGCTATCAGACAGAAACAATTATCTTCAAAAAGTTAACATTACAGTAATAGTAGAAGAAACTAAATTTTAAGTATCCAAATCAACAGCTGGAGTTTTATTTGTCCAAATAACTGATAAAGTTATTTTCAGTTTTTTTGGAGAGTGGTTAAAATGCAAGTTCTAAAGACAAGTTGCTATGAAAAGAAAAAGTTTACATACAGCTTCTTTTTTTGTTGTTCCTCTAAGGTTTTCATTGATAAACTGTTCAAGACCTAATAAATCTCTCTTCCCTTGGTATTTAGTACCTTTCAGTTCACCAGCATCATAAAAAATCAGCCTATAATTCGGTTTTATAAAAATTAATAAAAGTTGCAATATTTACTTTCTTAAATGTCATAAAATAAAATGTTTAATAAGCAATGTAAAATTTATTTGATTTATAATTTTTCATAAAAAATTAGAAAATGGCTACAATTTCTAGAATGAAATAACATAGGAAAACAAGAGAAAAATTTTAAATGAAACACAAAAGTAAATATCATGAAAAAAGCTCAAAATACATCATTAGGATAGCTTTCAGATGACATGCACCATCCTTCTTCAAATTAAAAATTAAATCTGTAGGCAATCACACAAGTAAACTAAGTACGTAACAAGTAAAAGTAAACTCATAAATCTAGCCAAAAGGTAAAGATGCTTTAATTTATTTCCCAGGTTTCAACATATTTGCTAGAATATAGCAAAACACAAAAGAATACTTGTCTTGGGGAAGAAATGCCTTTATGGAGAAGTTTCTTAAGATAAACTGATTTATATGCATTTTACATATAAGAAAAATCCTGAAAAAACCAGTAATCCAGTTTGCTAAGATTCAGACCCAGGTCAAATTACTAGCACTTAGCGGTTTTAGTGACTCGACTATTTGTGAGCCTTCACAGCAACAGAATTCCAAATATTGGGACTAACTGAAACCCTTCGGGATACTTTGTATTGTCACTTTTCTATACAGAAAATACATACTTACTGTAATATAAACATGAGGAGATTTTCACTTTTAATTAACTCAATTTCTTTCAACACACATAAAAAAATACTTTTAATTCCATAAAGCAAAGCACAAAACACAAACAACTGCAACAAAATGATGATTTTATTTCTTGGGTGTATTTTCAAAATACACAACCATCTTCTGATTCAAGTGCACTAAAAATCATGAATTTTTATTTAAGAAGGCCCTAAAATTAAACACATCTTGTTTATACTAAAATTAACGAAGGAAAGTATTTTTTGTTTACATAAAACAAAATATATTACCCATTTCTCTTCAATTAAAATTAAACTAAGACATTACTTTTATTGATGTAAAGTAATAAAATTAAGGAAAAATATCTATAGAATTATAACCAGGGTGTCACACATCTAAGTGTTGCTAGTATCTATTCATTTATGGCATATATTGTTTTTTCTAAAAATATTTTTAAAACCTTATATTTCTATTGCCATTTACTATTTTAAAAAAATCTGTCTTGCCATGACTAAGCACCAAGAAGTTACAGACTCTCCCTCTGGCTTGTATGATATCTTGGTGAAGAGTCAGCAATATATTCCACATTCTTCTGCATGAGAAGCAGAGTATTCATACTTCTATATGAGTACGGGAATCTTTTGATGATGAGTTTGGAGGCTTCTTGTATGGATTAATTATGTTGTCTTCTTTAAAAAGTACATCTTGATCACCATCTTTCTTACAACTTCTCTCTCTTGAAAACTTGAAATGATTCAAAAGAATTCATGTAGCAATAAAAGAAATCAGTACTACAGTATTTACTTCACATATACAATCAACCATATGTTGAACAATTTGTTCTGTACACAGAACTTCATAATGAAACTCTTCAGTCATAAGATCTATCATCCCACTTCCAGAATCACAAATTGCTACTTAAAAGTTGAGGATATTTGAATTTCCCTACAATGAAATCATATATCATACAAAACAGTGCACAGATATATTAAATAATGATTCAAGTAATTTAATTCAAGTAATGTTTCTCTTGATAATGATTGTGGTTCTAAAGAAATCAACAGTTCATCTTCAAACTGCACAAAATCAAGGTGATTGATTCTCTTCAAACTTCACTCGGGATAATTCATCCAACTGCATAGAATCAGGATGATTCCCTTCATACTTCATCGAGTTGGGATGACTCATCCAACAATATAGAATTAGGATGATTCTCTTCAAACTTCACCAAATCAGGATGATTCATTCAACAGCACAGAATCGAGATGATTCATGAAAAGTTCACTATATGGGGTTGGATCTCCCCCTGGTTCGAAGCAACTCTTGAATTCTTAAATACTGGTTGTTCTTTAACTAGATAAATCATTTGGGTCTCACACTGGGTTGCCAATTTATATAGCCAGGTGGGCCATACATCTAAGCAGTGTTAGTTTCTGTTGTTTTATGCCAGTTACTGTTTCTGCTAAAAATATTTTGAAAAATTTTATCTTTCTGTTGCCATTTACTATTTTAAAAAATCTGTCTTGCCATAGCTATGCACATGAAAGCCTTGAGGTTACACAATTTATTATAATTAAGCAATGTCTCAGCAAATAAACAAAAACAGCAGGCCGGCCATAATTTTTCATTAACCCTTTCCACTCCTTAATGTTTTTTTCCTAACTAACCAACAACTAATTCAGAAGTCAAACAACAAAAATCAGCGTTATATTTTCAAATTTTCACAGGACTAGTTTCAATGGTTTTACCAAACCACCATCCTCAGCTGCAAAAGCGCTGAGGATGTCATTCCTTTCTTTCCATCAATTAGCTATACAGTTGCACATATTTTGCAGAAATTTAACTTTCAGGTCGTTTATTCTCTAATCAATAAAATTCCGAGTTCCATACTCAAGGATCTCATTCCATATATGAATTCCTGGGGTATTTATAGAATTCCTTGCCAGTGTGATTTAATTTACATTGGCCAAACTAAGAGAGCCTTAAAATTTCGCATCAAGGGACATGAGACATATGTTAGAAAAAAGAAAACACAGAAGTTCTTCTATTGTCCAACATTGTTGGTCCGAAAATCACACTTTTCAATTTTTCTGCTTCCAAAATTATTCAAAAAACATCTTCCATTGGAGAACTGGATTTTCTAGAGGCATTTCACATTCAAAAAAATTTTTCTGTTCTAGTTAATGATCCTAATTCCAATCCATCTTTGCCTTCGGCCTTTAAAGAAATTGTTTTAATTCTGGTTTCATCAACAGATGGCCCCACTAGCTTATTTTCTGTCCAGGCTTTCTTATGTGATCTGATCATTATAGCTTATCTCGTTCATTTGCGCTTTTGCAGCTGAGGATTGTGGTTTGGTAAAATCATCGAAACTAGTCCTGTGAAAATTTGAAAATATAACGCTGATTTTTGTTGGTTGACTTCTGAATTAGTATTTGTTCGGTGTGTTATTGTGTTTTAATTAACAACTCTTTAATTCATTTACCAAATAGATAAAAAAAAAGAGGGTCTCAATAAAAGGTTGTATTGCAACTGTGCAGAGTATGTAACAGATATTTTTTCGATTATATTAAGTAGTAAGATAGTAAATAAATATAAATTTATATATTTAAAAATTTATTTACCTTAATTATTTATAATTTTTCAAAGTATGATATTTTTTAAAACATTCTCCTGGATAAAGAGACCGGTTTTCCTATCACAAGTACCAAGTTTTCTTTTCTCCCTCCTTTAACCTTCCAATTGGAACACACCATACAGTCCTTGTGTTTATAAGAAAAAATAAAATGAGTATTCTCATTTAAACATTAGACAGTATCATCTGTGGATAATTGGTCGGTTTTTTTTTTTTTTTTTTTTGTGTGTAGGAGCACAAAAGTCTTTGATTAGACTCATCAATAAATTTTCTCTATAATCTAATATGATAGTCGGTTTGTTTATCTCTTTTTCACTAGCATTTTCAGTCATCTTTGATCTTTTTCTCGGAGGTTGTAAACCAGAAGATTGTTTTGTACTAAACATTGTGACCTTCTACTTTCAGACTTCTTTCTTTCAGACGTTGCCTTTTGGCAAATCTTAATACTTACAAAAAGGTATTAAATTATATTGCCACTTGGCAAGTTTAAATAGTTACAAAGGAACATTAAATTATGTTACACTACATAGCTAACAACAGAAAAAAAAGACATTAACTATTGCATCTCAAGAAATGATAATTGCAAATATAAGCAGCATTAAAGACATGGAGATGTTGAACTGAGAATAAGTTATTATTTATTCTTATGTTTCATCCCACTCAGAAAATATTCATAATTCATTTATGCTAAAAATAAGTTACTAAGTGGCTAATTAAACATATTAGAATTATTTGAAATAAATGTCGGTCTGAAAATTTAATATATAGCTGGTGGCACGTTTGAAGTACGAAGTGTAACCAACTAAAGTTTTTTACAGGCATTTTCTTGCAAATGGAAAATAAATACTATAAATTTACATTATTTATTATTATTGTTATTTATTTTTATTTGATAAATATTTAGTAAATGAAATTTGAAATTAAGTTCAAATTCATTTAATTTGAAATTTAGTTTTATTTTATTAAAAAATATTCTGGCCTAGCAACTTCTTTCAGATTCATTTCAGAACTTCATTTGGCCGCATATAATTTGAGCTATTTGCCTTACTTGATTATTTAATAGCGATCACATGGTGGTATGCTCGCTTGGCACTTAGTATGTAGTTGCTTGCTCATGTCGCCATCTATTAGCGCCAATGAGAAGTGCAGCAGTGTACGAGTTTCGCATGCTCTTGAAGATGATCAAGACCTTGGGATTTGATCCCAGGTCTGTTACATGAGAGTCGGATTTGTTAAGAATAGAGCATTTAATTAATATTATGTGCAGTTTCAATGGCATTATTGTTTTATTGTTTTATTATGTTTTATGAAACTGGCATCACTATTATTTTCATCATTCTAAAAGTTGTCATGTAAACAATAAGACATACGCAAGTTCTTTTTACATTTTTTGTTAATAAAGTCCAAAATTCAATTAACCATCACTCTGTTTGTTAATTTTATAACAGGTTATGGGTTTTAGCGACATTTAACCGCACAAATAAATTAACGATGGCTATGTTGATGTATTTGAATCACGGATTTTTTTTTTTACTTCCTGGTTAATGACGACATAAAATGAAAGCTAAACATTTTTTTCAGTGTACCAAATTGGAATGTTTATCCAACTGGACTAATTGGAAATTTGAAATATACTCTTTATTTGTGCTCAACGATTGTGCGGGCATCTTCGATAATTCCCTTATCGAGCCAAAAGCTCCGGAAGAAAGCGCGAATGAAAAAATGATATGCAAGTACAACGAAGCCGCAAAAGCGTATGCAAAGGTGAATGCGAAAACTGCTGTGATCATTCGCACAAACATATCACTGAATCTGTTAAATTTCATACGTATGCATGGTAATTCTGCACTAGCGATATAGAATGAGTAATTTTGAGAAGATGTCAAGCGTGAAGTTGGACACTCTTCTGCAACAGTTTTTCACTTTTTGGATCGAGAAAGACGAAAGTCTAATGCAATCGCTCGCACGCTTATGTACACTGTGGGTGGATCTTCAACATGAGCAAGAGTTGAGCGGTGAAGGAAAGTTGCCACAGAATTTGCTAGCATCGAGAATCTTATCTATTCTTCCTAATGACGAATATATCGAGTTCAAATCACAGTGAACTCAATGCCAAAGTCACCTGAAAAACTGATTGAACAGATCAACATGCGACTGCAAAGAAGAAATCAAGAGCTTAGAAACGAAAGTACGATAACATTTGTGGCAAATGCTAATTATAGCTCAAAACATAGTGGAAAGAAATGGAAGAAGGGTGGTAAGAAAACCTCAGATGGTCAGCCAATCCCAAGCCTTGACAACAAATAATGCCAAAACGATGAACAGACTTAGTAAGACCAGTGATGGTGTGAAAGGTTTCAATGGCATCTGTTTTCGTTGTAATACACCCAGGCACATTGGTAAATTTTGCTCAGTTTTCCCTGACAAGCCAACCACGACGAATGGCAAAACAGAGACCTTCTTTGCAAATACTCAGTGCTGTGCATTTGCTTGTCAAGAAGATGATTGTGGCTGAAATGTGTGGCTTAAAGACGATGGAGCCACAGCACACATTACAAATTCAGCCGAGTATTTCAAGATGTACCGTCACTTTGACAAACAAGCAGAAATCACAGTCAGTAACAGACAATACCAGCATATGGCTGTGGGGACATTGACATGTGCGCGATGGTTGGAAACGTACAAAAATCTATTGAGCTGACTGATGTACTGTAAGCATCAGAAATTGGCAAAAATTTTTTATCAGCCTCAAAGGCAATGAAGCAAGGAATCTCGAACTTTGGTGATTCAGACGATATGATTTGTCATTTCTTTCCCAAAGAGACCCCCAGATAATATACTTTTAGAAGCCCCATGTTCATCAAATGGACTCTTTGAAGCGCAAAACCATTCTAACCACAAGGGGGTTCTGCTGCTGCAGCCTACTTGATTGACAACAAAATGACGACTCCTTTTCCTGAGACGGCAATGAAGACGATGACAAAATTGCCATTATCACTTTGGCATCAAGGAATACAGTACGTGAAACAGTACTCGTGCCAAAATACTATAGATTCTATCGACGATGGACTATTTTGTGAGCCATGTGCATATGGTAAACAAAGTCGACGAATATTTAAACCAAAACGATTCAAAACACAAAGTCTGGTGAGATAATACTAGTGATTAAGGACGATTACTCTAAGTTTCGACATGTAGAATTTCTGAGACATAAAGAAGAGACTGTGGATAAAATCAAGCAGTTTCTTGTTTGAACCAACAAAGATGGTATAAATGTGAATAAAATTGGTCACAGACGGTGGTCGTGAATTTGACAATGATAAATTGGTGAAACCAACTGATGATGCAGGCATCAAGCTGCAAATCACTATGCCATATACACCAGAACAAAATGGATTGGTTGAAAGAGAAAATCGTACAATAATTAATGCAGTTCGTACTATGATCAAGAATTCAGGCCTACGACAGTTCTTATAGGCAAAAGCAGCATCTACAGCTGTGTACCTTCTCAATCGAACTGGACCAAGTAAGACTACGGGAAAATCTCCGCTTGAGGAATGGTTTGGACGCAAGCCGGCAATCAACAGATTTCGAGTTTTTGGATCAGCTGCATTTGTACATGTACCAAATATCAACAGAGGTAAATTAGATGACAAGGCTATAAAGTTCTATTTGGTTGGTTATTGTGATGACGATGGGTATTGCATTTTCATACCATCAAGGAATGATACGATAAAAAGTGCCAATGTAGTGTTCAATGAACAGCAAATTGGCCCTGCTTCCCAACCTTCAAAATTAGCATCTAACACCAGTCTATCAAGCGGCATGAAGTTTATTTTGGAAGATGTACACGGTGATGCAGACACACAGGAAGTTGGTGATTTGTGCACTGATGAAGATGAACCAACACAGATGACCGCACGTGCATTGCGAGACCGTTCAACTATCCAACGGCCTGTCAGATTTAATGAATACGATGTGTACAAACAGCATTCTGAAGTTGGAAAGAGCCTAAAACATATGACGAAGCAACGAAGTCTCCTGAATACGCCGACTGGAAACGAGCCATGGATGGAAGAAGAAATGGCTTCGCATGCCAAACATGGAACATGGCAACTTGTTGAGCCACCTAACGGACGTAAAATCCTCGACAATCGCTGAGTTTACAGAGTGAAGACAAATCCCGATGGCTCAATCGAGAGATTTAAGGCCCGTTTAGTAGCAAAAGGGTACACCCAGACAGTGAATATCGACTACGAAGACACATTTAGCCCGGTGTGTCACTATGACACTATTCAAGCTCTAATTGCAACGGCAGCCAAGGAGAATCTCAACTTATATCAAATTGACGTGGAGACGGCATTCCTTTACGGTGACCTACCTGAGGAGATCTACATATATCAACCCAAAGGTTATAACGATGGAAGTAAGAGTGTACGCAAGATGGCTTGAAACAAGCTGGACGATGTTGGAATGCCAAGTTTACTGACGTACTGAAGAAACATGGCATGATACAAAGTAAATCTGACAACTGCCTGTTAATATGAAATGATTATGGACATAAGATGCTGATGGCGATTTATCTTGATGATGGCATTGTCGCTGTTCAGGACAAAGCAGCATTCTTCACATTTATGGATGAGCTCAAGCAACATTTAACATTCGAGTAACGACGTTAAATTGTTTCCTTTGTCTATAAGTTGAAAGTTTGAAAGATGGCTCATTCTTCCTGCACCAAGAAACATTTACAAGAAAGATATTAGAGCGATATTGAGATGCTAAGACATCACATATCCCAGTAAAGAATTTGAGTCTCAAGGTCAACTATGGTCAACTGAATGATGACGGCATGATCAAGATCAAGGAGGCGAAGCCTCTCAGCAATGAAATTCCATACCGATCAGTAGTTGGTAGTTTGCTGTGCTTGGCGATGGGAACCTGACCGGATATTGCTTACGCAGCAAGTTTGATGTCTCGAAAGCTGAACAATCCCTACAGAGATTGATTGGGAAATCGTACAAACAACATTAAGGTGCCTTCGCAATACCATAGGACACGGCATTATTGTGTACAATAATGAAGATGATAGAAGGTTGATGTTTAGTGATGCAGATAACAGCAGCTGTGCAGAAACATGAAGGTCTCGAACACATGTTATTTCTTTCTATGGTGGATGTGCAATTACGTGGCGAAGCAAGTTACATGAGGCCATATCCAATTCAATGACAGAAGCAGAGTTCATGGCAGCAGCTGATGCTATGAAAGACCTGATATGGTTGAAGAGCTTGTTCAATGAGATAGCTAATAATGTCTCATTGCCTATCCTACAAATTGATAATCAGAGTACTATCAAGTACATCAAAAATCCAATGTTCCACGCATGCACAAAGCACATTGACCAAAGGTACAAGTTTGTGCAAAGTTGTGCTCAAAGGGACATTTTCAATTAGGCTAGGTCATAGGTAATGAAAAACGAGCAGATATTCTAACGAAGGCTCTTCCAGCACCTCAGTTTCATTTCCAGAAAAAGTTGATTGGTGTAAAATCAGTCACTAAGTAAATATGAACAATGAATATTTTTTATGCTTGAAGAAGGCTGTTAAGAGTGCTGTGTGTGTGTGTGATTATGGCAAAGCCATGAGGGCTGTCTGCCTAAGGGGAGGGATGCCTTCGTGGAGGACTTTCTAAGGGAAACTGGATCGTATACACATTACACGTGGGGAAAACCACGAAAACGCCCATGCATCCAGGCCGTTCCCACGATTCGAACCACGTACCGAACTACTCATGTTCAGCGACTTTACTGCTTGGCCACTGGTGGGCACGGAGGCTGTTAAGAATCGAGCATTTAATTAATATTATGTGCAGTTTCAGTAGCATCATTGTTTTATTATGTTTTATGCATCTGGCATAAATATTATTTTCATCATTCTAAAAGTTGTCATGTAAACAATAAGACATATGTAAGTTCTCTTTACCTTTTTTGTTAATAAAGTCAAAAATTCAATTAGCCATTACTCTGTTAATTTTATAACAGGATTCTCTACAATTATTACAAAAGAGCTCCCACTTGCTGAAATTTTCACTCTATTAAATTGAATATAATACATAAAAATGAATCAGACTTCAATTTAATGTAAATTTTTAGAGATATTTTACTATAAGCAATAAAAGCATTCTTACGATGGATATCCTGAGATTCCTTCTAAAGCACACAAAGGAGTTTCTACTGTACAATCCACCTGAAAAATTTTTGAATGCATGTAAAACATTGTAAGACAAATTACAAAATAAAAATTGCATTTAACAGTCGAAAAAATTATGGGACATTTCTCTATTAGGAAATAAAAATTAATTCCTTGCATTAAATACTAATTTGCAGCTACTTTATTATGGTAATTAAAGATATAGTTTAAATAACTTGCAACAAATCAATGAAAACAAAATGCCAATGAAATTTCACATTATTTCTGCCAAATTTCTGAGCAGCTTCCTTGAATTTCTACTACATGATACACATGAAATCTAGTGCACTAATAAAAAGGATCTCAATAACTTGAAAAATTTCATTAAAATATACTTTTCTCCATCTCAAAATGTAATAAATATACATCAACACTATTGTAACTAAAAAAATCAGGAACGATTCTATTATACATGATTTGAATTTATTATTCAATATTTATTACATATTCTTTAAAGTAATTCTGTCCAGTTACAATTCACTTAGCAATGTTTTCTCCAACTCTTGAAATTTAAAGTTGTTTTTGTGAAAAAGCTTTTTAAGTAATGCAGTAAAGTTTATTTTATTCCCTCTTTGGACTAAAAACAGAGACCGTGAAGCAGCAATCTTATCCATGAAAGTAAGGGGAAAATGCTTAAACAATGTCACATGAAATGAATACTGAGCTTCTGGAGCTATATTTATTTTCGCCAAAAAGTTTAGAACGACAAGAACACTTTAAGCAAAGGCTTTAGCATAGTACCAAATCCATGAATTACCTCCCACAATTCAGTCTATAAATTACTTCATATAAACTCAGTAAAACATTAAAATTCTTTGTTAACAATTTTACCCAGTTAATAGAAATTCATGATACATGATAACATGAAAGTCAGAAAATAAACAATCAACATTACCTTGATTTTTGAATGATTTTGATATGATCTTTAGCATGTTTTACTATTTTATTGCCATTCATTTGATGGTTGAGCTGCTTCAATATTAAAAGTGAACATTCACGTATCATCACTAGCAATAATGAGTTAGAGTGTACATTGAGAAAGCATGTCAATTAAGCATAATGTTTTTGGAGCAACTTGAGAAATAACATGCTGCAAATCCAAATGATCAAAACTGTTTAACAAGATCTAAACATTAAACTATAATCATTAAATATTAAATCTATGACTTGATTGATGTGTTGCTCATTAAATAAAATGAATGGTTTATTAGAATGTGGTTATCTTTAACAAATTGTCTGCCTTCCTTAAATATTTTGTTATTAAAGGTTTATTGCAATATTTCAATATTTTTTGTGGCAGAAATTTAGTTGTGAACACAAAATACAAAACATGGTTTTCACTCAATTACGTTTACCATTTTGGGAAGTCATTAAAGCAAAAATTTTTTATTCATTAAAAGCAAATTCATTTACTAATGATAAAAGAAAATGAAACACAAATTGTAGTCAGATTTTGATGAAACTTGTAACAACTTCTGAAAAACTTTGTAAACAATTTCTTGCATCTGCATATTTTAAATAAATCCTTTTTGATACATTTTGATTTACATCAAATATTAATTTTCTTCAGTTAAAAGTTTTAAATAATAGATTGTTACATAAGTACGTATCCAGGTACTAATCATTACCCACTGATTTACATCATTACCCACTGAATACTGGGATCATTACCAATTGATTGATTCAATGGGTACTAATCATTACATATTGATTTACTAATAACACTCCTTGTCAGCTTTCCTGCAAATGTTGCAACAAAATAAAAAGCTGTTTTAGATTCTTTTATTAAGATACAATTTTTTATTTCCTTCCTTTTCTTGGTGATATACTCTATCATCTCATCAAGGAAAGATGGGGATAATTTTATTATTATTTGCTGTTGTTGTTTGTTTGCTTCAATGTCAACTTAAGACCAGTTAAAGTAAGGGTTGATCTTTAGAATATGGTAACTGGTAGTTTGGCGACATTTTGGAGGCGATAAAGGTTACTACCTGGGACTTTGGTAATAATGTGAGCAGTACTCAGTTCCGATTATGCATTATTTTGTGTGAGGGAAATGAGAGATCATGGGATATGTCATGTGATATTAATGGACGAATTACGGTTCTTTAATCGGAAAAGGGGGGAAATCGGGAAAAAATTTGGAAATTTTGTATTTGGCTTTATTCTGTGTTGTGTGAAACAGTGTTCGTTAGTTTTTGGATCCCATGGCCCTAACTAAAGTGAATTCGAAATGGGTATTTAGTGGGATTGAAAGGGGTAGTAATAAGTGTTTCTTTAAGGTTGTGCGAGATAGAAGTAAAGATGTTTTATTAAGTTATTTATTTTACCTGGTACCTTGCTGTGAACTATAAGTATGATTTTAAAGATCCTGAAATAGGCACACATACGCTTGCTTTTTATTTATCGGAGGAAATAAGAAAAGTTTATCGGACACGTAATCAAGATTCTGAAGAAGATTAGTTAGTATTTTTAATTATTTGATGATATTATTTTTATGCATTGTTCTAAATGTAAGGTGGAAGTAAAGTAATTTGGTATTATTGGGAAAATTGTTATTAGCAATGATTTAGTTTAAAGTAATTAGGATTGTAAGCTAATTTTTATTAATTTAATGTATGTGCTTATTTATATTTTAAGTAGTGTTTTTGAATTTAATTATATTTTAATTAAATGATAGTTATTTTGTGAATTTGATGTTTGTAGGAATTTGGTATACGTTTTAGTTGAAGTAAACGTGCATGGAAATAATTTAAATATTTGACACTAAGTATTTGTAATGTTTGCGGTATGAATTCGTTGGTGACGTTTATAATATAATAGATGATTTAGAGGTAAAAGTTTTTGGATATTTTATTTATTTTATATGTGGAAATGTTCATATTTGGAAAGGGTATATACTTTTTCGCGATCAGGCAATTTCATATATGTTCTTTTTACCGGGTTAAAGATTCAGAAAATTGTCATGTATTTTCGTGAAATTTTCTAATTTATGAGAAAAAAGTAGTGTACATGGATATGGTGAAGAGTGTGCGCAATGCCATTTTTGTGCAATTCTGGGATTTTTTTTTTAAGTAAAAATAAGTCGACGTGTACATGGTTTAGTGATATTTGAATTAAATGATAGTTATTTTGTGAATTTTATGTTTGTAGGAATTTGGTATACGTTTTAGTTGAAGTAAACGTGCATGGAAATAATTTAAATATTTGACACTAAGTATTTGTAATGCTTGCGGTATGAATTCGTTGGTGATGTTTATAATATAATAGATGATTTAGAGGTAAAAGTTTTTGGATTTTATTTATTTTATATGTGGAAATGTTCATATTTGGAAAGGGTATATACTTTTTCGCGATCATAGGTAATTTCATATATGTTCTTTTTACCGGGTTTAAAGATTCAGAAAATTGTCATGTATTTTCGTGAAATTTTTGTAATTTATGAGAAAAAAGCAGTGTACATGGATATAGTGAAGAGTGTGCGCAATGCCATTTTTGTGTAATTCTGGGATGTTTTTTTAAGTAAAAATAAGTCGACGTGTACATGGTTTATATGTATGTGTTATTTTGAAAAACACGTAAGGAGTATGGTATTGTGCACTTTTCCCAATTTTGCAGTGAATATTTGTCATGATTAAGCAGTTTTGTTAGATAAAATTTCTAGCATAAGTGTAATTCGGCTAGTAGATTGTTGGAAGAAGTGTTCAATAGATAAAAAGAAAAGAAACATGTTTTTACTTCGTGAAGACAAAATGGCGGCGGGGGAAGAGGGTTGCTGTAGGAGAGTTGGTCGCCAAATTTTTGCCAAAAAATTGCCAAGTTACCATAATCTAAAGATCAACTAAAGCAAGTATACATGTGTCCTTGCTTACCTGTATTGTCTTTGGAAACAATTTCCTGTAGAAAATATTCAGAAAATTAGTAGTTCATCTTGTCTTACTTTTTACTATATCTTGCATTACTTTTTAGAGCATGCATTTATTAGATTTATCAAGAAATAAAGAATCTATTACTTCAAGGCATGTAGTATTTTGCTAAAAAAAATGTTCAAATTCTTATGCAATGAAACTGCACTTGACAGAAGAAAAAAAATGGAAATATAGGTTGAACAAAACTCTTAACAAAATATTAGAATAAGAATTTAGGGTATTTAGTTGCTTTTCTATTTAACTCAGTTCATACTAAGGCAGAGACAGTTATCAAGATTATGATTTGATGAATTATTTTGAATATGATGGCCAAAGAATACTCAATGGAAATAAAAAAAAACCTATTTCATTTATTGGCTGATGTTGAATACATATTTCACTGTCAAAAAGTGCTAATAAAGCATTGATGGTATATTGACAGAAGATAAGATTTAGAAGGAGAAAATCAATTCACCTTAGCAATAACAATTTTCTGATTTGGAGAATTAACATTATACTTTTCAGCTAATTCATCCCATACTGGCTTCAGTCGTTTACAGTATCCACACCTATAAATAAATAATACTTGTTAAATCAATAGAATAAATTATGAGTTCACATATCTAATATACTGTAATTAATAATTTATTAACTAAAGCAGACCCTGAGTTTAACCTTTCCAGAATTACACAGGACTTTAAAATTAACACATCTGCAAATGCACGGCATTCATCTCTCGGAAATAAATAAAAAAAGTTTTACATAATATATTCTACATAAATGAAATGCCACTACATTAAAACCACCTGTTTAACATAAAGTATAACCAGCTTTCGGCCCTCAAATCCACCAAAACCGGGTAAGGCATTGACTCGACAAAGAGTTGATAGATAGTCTGAGGTATCTGGTACCAGGCATTTACCTACTGTGCTTGCAATTCCCGCACATTGCAAAGTGGTAGTGTTCCACTTGAAATTGGCATACTCGCACTTGCCTTTCAATGAAATTGAGCAGAAGATATGATTTGTTAGACCAGGTAACTTTCTTCCATTCTTTTGTGATCCAATGCCCATGTTTCCTTGGTCCATTGCAAATGCTGTTGATGATAACATGCCATTAACATAGGGATGTAATTTAGGCAGCAGCTATGTAAGACCATATGCAGCAGTGTACACTACAGTAGGTGTTGAGACACACAATCTAGGTCACCACTCTTGTAGCTACTCATAATTTCTGCCACTGTAACCCACTAATCATGGCAAACAATGCTTATTATTCTACACTCTCCTCTGGGATCAATGTGACATGGTCGGTAAACTTCTGGATGATTGACTTGGCATTTCACCATCCATCATACACCACTTTCAATCCACGTATGTGAAAAAAATACATGCTGAAAATAAAGATTCTATCACAGATTAGTAATCATCATCATAGTATTTACTATATTTTCTAGTGCATAAGATGCAATTTTTCTTTAAAAATTTTGTGTCTAAAAAACTAGGTGCATCTCATATAATGATGGCACCGGCAGCAATGGGTGAAAGATCGATAACGCATATGCAGGTTGCATGTTAACCCTTAGAATGCCAAGGCCTTTACTTACCTGTTTCTTAAAAAAAGTCTGAAATTCAATTTGAAATTCACATAAATTTCTCCCCCCCCATTCATTAACAAATAAATAGGTATGAAGGTTTTAAATGGCATTGTTCCTATTTCTTAACAAAGGAGCTTTCTTCCTAAGTGTATAATAAGATCTCTTTAACTAAAGATAAGAAATTACAAAAGAATCCTTTTAGGGCAAGACTGTCCACAATAAAGAAGAACTGATACATTGTATTTGGGAAAACTATACCTTAGGTTATTGAGTAGTTTAGGGAGAGGGTGGAAACAGATCATGCAATCTCATCTGGATAGGAATTTGGACAGTGATATTCAATAAATGTTGATTTCAATAATATGTAATATTTTCCTATTAAATTGTAGGCTAAAAGCAGGCTAGGAAAAACAAGTACATTAACCAAATTTTTTTCAATTTTGGGGTCCTAAAATCAAGGTGAATCTTACACAAGGGAAATGCAGTCTTGGAGGAAGTTTTTAATGATTTTATAGATGTTGCGTGGGCAGCAGATGTTGTGGAGACACTGGAGGATGGTGGGCCACCATAATGAATCAAAAGCATTTTTGAGACCAAGATACCAGATGACCAAGTGCAGATTGCTTACTTTTTTAATATTCACTTGGTCTAGAATTACTTGTACAGTCTTGTCTTGGACCATTTGAATTTGGGAATCAGAAAATCTGCACACTATCTTAGAGTTTCCTTTGCATTTACCAAAAGTAACACTATTAGGTTGGTTTTCTGCATCATTTGTTCTCTGCCTTTATTTCTTCAAGGAATTATGTTTTACAGGTCTAGTGACACTCTCAATCGTCAGCCAGCGATATGCATTGCTGTCAGAGAATTAAATTGTTCTGCCTCTGCTAACACATCAGTGCACACACAATCTCTATGCAAAATGGAACTCCTCCACACAGTGCATGGTGTGTTACAAATGTTCTTTAGCATTATTTTACAGAACAACATGTCATCAGTCGACACTTTCATAACATGCGACCTCTCTGATCCCTAGACCTCAATCAATGTGCTTTTTGCCTTTGGAAGCATTTGAAATGTCTGGCAAGTCATGACAATCCAAGAACTTTACCTGATCTTAAAGCAGCATTTCACACAACGTGCTCAACATTTCCCTCGCACACACTTTGATCAACTGTGGAACATGCCATCTTGCAATTTCAGGATGGTTGCTGAAAATGATGCCATCACATGAAACATGTTTTGTTATAATAAAATTAGTAAAGTTGTAAAAATGACGTAAAAATATGGCTAAATGTTTAATTTATTAATACAGTGCCCTTTGGTCATATTTTTGACTAATTGTTTTTTCACTGAAAGACATTCCCATCCTTTCATTAAATTCACCACAAAATTTCATAATTTTCTGGTAACTGGTTTCACCTGTAGGCAGTTCTGAAATAACAATGTGTGTATGTGTGTGTAAGATAAAAATACAAACTTTAATTTGAAATAACTCCTTTAGTTATCTCCCCTTTCCAACCTAAAAATAATAACTGCTCATAGTAAATCATAGAACTTACTTGTTATCCCATCAAACGAAACTGTCCACAAAATAGCACAATTTACTACTAATTATAAATAAGCATGACATCACAACACACTCATAACATCTGTACTTCTATTTGGTGTAACTATACTGATTCTCGATTACCCATATTTTGTTTTGATGAACAAGGATATTAAGGAATTGTTACTGCTATATTATTTTCTTGCATTTTGAAAAACGGATTAAAATCTGGGACCTGAAAGCTATATATATATATAAAAGCAAGGATTGTTTTCAATCTATGGGATCCTACCATAACAACAACAACAAAAATAACTGCATACTACCCGTTTCATGATGGGAGCCTCAGTCACCAAACCACTCTCTTGGGATGGCACGCTAATAGGATGTAGTGTTTTGTTGGGATGGGCAATTTGCGCTTATAAGCCTAACTTTGGAAAAATGTTCACATTAAATTCGTGGTTAAATTGTTCAAATTTTTCGCACATTATGAGAGGAAAGTCGTTGTTAGAATTAACATAAAAACTATCATTATATTTTCTTGGCCATTCAAAGCAGGAAAAATGTTTTGCTAAATGATACACAAAATTTTGCCTGTAGAAGATTCTCTAGCCATACACTAAGAGGAATGAATTAAACCTCTGAAACAAAAGGTCACATACCCTCATACTGCCAAAAATAAAAACAAAAGTAATCAACAGCATTAGGAACATGCCCAAGTATCAACCTATTATACCAGCTGATGTAGTTAATGGCCAGTTCTGTTTATTTACATTATTTATTACTGTTTATTTACATGATTTCTGCCTTGATTGTGAAACAAATATGAAAAATAAAAAAATATTGCAATGGATGGAGGCAATATTCTAAAGTATTGATGAACAAAACGACAGAGGGCTATATCTAGTTGGCAAGATAGATAATAATTGCATATTTTATCTAAAAGTTCATATGTGGTACACCTATCCTAAGAGTCAATTTAAAATAAAGTGACCACATTGGCAATGAGACAAAGTGGGACAAATGGAATGAAATGAGAATTATAATTTAGTTATGAAAGCAGACCAAAAATTCAAAAAATATATTTTATTATATACATTCCTATACTTGTCTATAAATATACAAAAATATATTTATTATTAACAATTGGTAACTATAAAAATATTTGTAAAAAACAATAATTTGAATATTATGTTTTTTAATTAATTTAATATTTTATTAAAAAAATTATGATTTACTTTAATTTAATCAAAAAATTATGATTTACAGTTATATTTTTTATCCAAGTGAATATTTTGCAATAGATTCAGATCATTTATTAAAATATTGTGAAATTTCTCACATGAATTGAACAAATTATATTTTAGGCTTAATACAGGTTTTAAAGTTTTAATGTTCAACTGCATTTCTTTCAATTGTCCATATTTTATTGATGCTATAAAAAATACGTTCTGTTGCTGCATTTGTTCCTGGAAGGGAGAGCGTGTTTTCTACAATTTTCAAAATATATTCGTAAGGAATATTATTCTGTTTAAAATGGAGGAATAACTCCGTCCACAACGAACATTTACTTTTTTCGTCAGTAACGCATCTTTTTCGCAATGACATCTCATCAAAAAGATCATTTTCGCAAATATTATTTTTTAGAAAATAGTTACTAATATATTAAAACGATTTTTCCACATATTCCCATAAAATCTCCTTTTTTAATGTCACCCAATGAAAGTTTTTAATATCCTCGAAGTGAACTGTCTGCTCTTCAAGATATTCCAAGCAGTTATTATAAAAATTTCTGACTTCTTTCAGAAAATCAGGTCATTTAATATGGCAACTTGTTCTTCCAACCTAGTGATGTCCTTTTGAATAACTAAAGGAATGTAATCGTTATCAGTTTTATTCTCGCAATTTTGTTTTTAAATTATTGATTTCATTTGACATTTTTGTAATTGACATTTTCTCCCCTTCAATAATTTTCACAACATTGTGAAATAATGTACTTGGTTGTGGATAAACTGAAGACGAATTTGTGATGTGTCATTTTATAAAGAAAACAGCAATAATCTTGGACATTTATCTTGTGATAAAAAGTATGATTTTAATGGTTCGTATATATTTTTTTAATATTTTCTGCAGCCGGTAAAAGAGCTAGCCATAGTGTTTTGCTGTAATCAATAATTATTTTATATTCGATTTCTGCGTTTTCATAAAAATCCTTCAAACTTTCGACACGCACCGTATATATATATAAATACGAATAAATTTTTGAAATAATATTTTCAACATCCACTGAAAGTAAGTCAGATGTTGTTTGAATAGTACTGTGTAGAAAGTGCTCTGCACAACCTACTCTAATAATTTTTTGGTTCAAACGTTCGTTAAGTTTCGCAAAACCGTTATCGATGCCTCTTCTAGCTTTTCCACCA